GCGGGACTACAACTCCCAGAGGCGCCCCGCGGCGACGCGGCCTCCGCGCTTCCTGTCGCGCGGGGCGCGACGGGAGGTGTAGTGCGCGGGGCGGTGAGGGCGGCGCGCCGGGGCGCCCCCCGGTGGTGGGGCGGGATCGGGGCCGGGGGAGCCCCGAGCGCAGGGACGGCGCCGAGCCCCGGGGGGACACGGAGAAACGGGGGCACTGAGGGTGAGGAGCGAGCCCCTGACGGGACACCGAGCCCGGGGGGACACCGGCCCCGGGCGCGGCCCAGCCCCTCCAGGCCGGCCGGGACGGGAGCGGGGGAGGCCGCTCCGGGGGCGCTGGTGAGGGGCCGGGAGTTATTTGTGTCAGGCGGCCTCACTTCCTTCCTCCCGCTCTTCCTCTGCCTCAGGGGCCGCGCGTGGACGCGGGAGCGCGGCCAGAGGGTTATTTTAGTGCTGGCATCGCTCATCGCTCCACGGCCCTCCCCACCCACGGGACAACGCCGGGCAGGAAGTGCCCGGGAACAGCGCTGCGGCCCGAGGAGGAGGAGGAGGAGGAGGAGGAGTGGCAGGAGGAAGGCCCAGCGAACGCATGAAGAACCTACCTCGGTAGGTGACACCAATGGCACCTGGCTGCTGGGACATCGGAGCACGGGCTCCCCGTCCTCCCCTGGGAGAAACCCCCCCCCAAAGCGGCCGCGTCCAAGGAATCGGCCGAATTCCCATGTGGAGCGCTTCCTCTGCCAACTAACTCCTCTCCCAGGGGAGGAAATGATAGGAGTTGCTTTTAATAGGACTTTGATCTCTTGGGCTCTGCTCAGAACCGCTCGTGGCGCTGGGATGTGCAGCGCTGTGGGAAAGGGCGCGCAGCGTTTGTCGGGCAAACACCGTTTCAGCTCTGCCAGCCCACAGGGCTGAGCAACGTCAATAATAAACTTTAGGCCTGGGCTCTGCAGCTGGTTTGGGGAGGCAAATCACTTTTTAAATTCCTGTTTATACTGATTTAGTGTCTACTGCAGGTGGGCTTGTCCTGAGGTGATTTAGCAGCTTATTCCCAGGCATTTGCAGGAACAAGTCAACAGGATATCAGTTCCTTCTTATTAATCTAACCACCCTCCATGGAAAGCTGGAGCACTGGAATGATGCAGGTCCTGGTCAATACACGAGCAGGTATTTCAGTATCTCCACACACACCTGTGCACCCAACCAGAGCCACTGTCAGCCATGAACCTGCTGGAAAATCCACTCAGTTATTGAGGAATCACACTGAGAACACCACCGACCTGCACTTTGTCCAAAGGGATTTGGATGCCACGGGCTCCAGTCCCTCATGGCTGGTGTTTATTCTACTCCTTGGTGCTGACAAAGTGTTCCAGTTGTTTCACACCTCGGCACACGCCCTGCCAAGCCATGGGGAAGCACTGGGGACACTCCAGCTGATGTGCCCAGGGTGCATTTATTCCCCCCTTTGCTAACATGTGCTGCTTTGCCCTCCTCATCCTCTGTGTCCCTCACCTTGTTCCACACCTGGCTTTTCTCCGGGGCTTTGTAGAGCAAAAAATTCCTAAGTGTCTCCGAAATGAGAAGTGCAAGTACCCATGGCAAAGTAATGATTAAGGTGACGCTGAACTCCTGGTAACAAAGTTTCACCCAGCCTCCTGGCATTAGTGACAGTGCAGTGAGCTTTCAAAAGTAACAAATTAAATGTATTAAAAGCTGTTACCACCAGAAATTTTATGTTCCCTATGCCTGAACAACTCAGATGAAAGGGTCGTTCTTCCCTTTCCACCTTCCAAAACAACGCAGTGAGTGTTTACCCACACCTCCCAAGCCACACAGCCTTTTGACTCTGATAAATAATTAACAATTTCCTTTAGAATAGAGAAAATGAACCTGAAAATGAGGACCAGAGGCAGCAACAGCCTGGGCACACGTGACAGCTCTGTCACACCACGGTGCCACATTAGCTTGAGTGGCAGACCCGACAGAGGAGCAGGACACGCTCCCAAAACATTCCCAACGTGCCAAGCTCCATCCTGATTCTTCCATCCTCTGAGCCCAGAGGCCGAGGACGCAGAGCCTCGTGCTGAGAGTGGGTGATTCCAGTTGCTCTCCACTTTGGGAACCTCAGGGACGCCTTTAGGAGCGTCTGTTTGTGTTCCCTGCATATCCTACGTGCTACAACTCCGGGGCATTTGGGACCTGTTCTTCTTGATCCTGGGAGCCTTCCCGTGGGGGCAGGGACCTGCCTCCACAGTCAGGGCAAATACAGTAAAAAAGTGATACAAGTCAAGGTATAACTTAAGGCAGCAGTTTTCCCCAGAAGACAAGTTTTATTATTGAATTGTCGTTTATCTTAGGAAGATAAACGCTAAGATGACACCAACAGGGAGCGTGGATTCTGGATTTCTACTCGCAATGAAACTTTGTGTGTTTTGGGGGTGGAGGTGACGCACAGATCAGTGTGATTTGGGGAATGGCAGCGTAGAGGGGCTGAGCCCGTGCCCTTCCCAGGGCCAAAGGTCAGGCTCTGACACGGGGCAGTCACATCCCAGCCCTCGCCAATCCAAGTCCCGTGACAACCCTTCCTCGGCACCTGGAATGATAAACCCGGGCAAGCAGTGCCGGAGGCGCTGCCAGACCCCTCCCCTTGCGGGGCCTCCGCTCGCCCCCACGGCCACCCCCGATGCGGAGCGGCCGCACACCGGCGGCTCCCGGGGGAGAGGGGGCGGAGGCGGGGGGACCCCGCGGCCCGGCCCTGGCCGCTCGCAGCCCCCGCCGGGCGCCTGTGCTCCGCAGGCCGGGCCCGGCCGGGGGTGCCCGGGGGATCCCGCGCCGCCGCCGCCGCCGCCGCTCGCCCCGCTCCTATTGACTTCCCATTGTGGAGCTTCGCAACAAAGGGTAGGATCCAAACCCTGCCCCGTTTCGTCCAATCAGCGCGCAGAGCGCCCGCCCGCCACCGATTGGATCCTTCTCCTCCCTCAATACCCAATCGGACGCCTACTTTAACAACCAATCAGCGCCCGGCGGCGCGCCCAATCAGCGCGGGGGAACCGGAGCACGGCCTTTGTGTGTGGTGACGCGACGGCGCCGGCGGAGGTCCCGGCCAATAAGGCGGCGCGTTGCTTACAGGCATTGTGACGTCACCGCGCCGCGCGCGCGCCCCCACTATAAAGTGCGTGTCCCCGCGGCGGGGAGGGCGCAGTGAGCGGCGCGGCGGCTGAGGAGCGGCTCGGGCAGCAGCACAGCGTAGAGGCTTCGGCGCGCAGCGCTACCGGCACCGGCGCTTCCGTCTCTTCCTACCGGTAAGTACCGGACAGCGGGCGCGTCTCGAAGCGGGCGGTGGTGTTGCGCGGCCCTTCGTGGCCTTGGGTTCTCCCGGAGCGCGGCGGACAGGCCGGGCCTTGCCTACGTGCCCTGAGTCACGGCCGGTTCCCATCCCCCCACCATTGCACCTCCCCCCCCCAGCGCCGGAGCGGCCCGGGAGGAAGGAGGAGGCGGCGTGACTCAGTCCGCTTTCCCCGGGGAGGGGAGCGGCTGGGCCGCGAGGCGGGGGCGGCGGGGTAACCGTTACTCCTCCTCCCCGTCCCGGGGGAGGCCGCTGGCCGCCTGCCCGCGGCGGGGGAGGGGGGCGCTTGGAGCGTGAGCGAATTGGCCGCTGATGTGGTCGGGCCTGGGTGTCCCGGGGAGAGCCGGGCCCCGGCGTCACGCGTGTGTGTCTCTGTAGGTAAGTGAGGAAAAATGGCCCGTACAAAGCAGACCGCCCGCAAGTCCACTGGGGGGAAGGCGCCGCGCAAGCAGCTGGCCACGAAGGCGGCCCGGAAAAGCGCCCCCTCTACCGGCGGCGTCAAGAAGCCTCACCGCTACAGGTAAGGCCCTCGGCTCGGCCCCGGCTGCCGCAGCCCCTGCCCCGCCTCACCGCCCCCTCCTCCCTCTTCCATCCAGGCCGGGAACCGTCGCGCTCCGTGAGATCCGTCGTTATCAGAAATCCACGGAGCTGCTGATCCGCAAGCTGCCCTTCCAGCGGCTGGTCAGGGAAATCGCTCAAGATTTCAAAACGGATTTGAGGTTCCAGAGTGCGGCCATCGGGGCTCTGCAGGTACTGCTGAGGGCCGGCTGGGCTGCGGCGCTGGGGGAGCTGCGCTGAGGGTTTTTAACAACGTTTCTTGTGCTCTTGAAACAGGAGGCGAGCGAGGCATATCTGGTGGGTCTGTTTGAAGACACAAACCTGTGTGCCATCCATGCCAAGAGAGTCACCATCATGCCCAAAGATATCCAGTTGGCTCGCAGGATACGGGGAGAGAGGGCTTAAGTGAAGGCTGTTTTTATGGTGTTTTGTAGTTAATTCTGTAAAATACTTTGGTTTTAATTTGTGACTTTTTTTGTAAGAAATTGTTTATAATATGTTGCATTTGTACTTAAGTCATTCCATCTTTCACTCAGGATGAATGCTAAAAGTGACTGTTCACATAAACCTCAGTGATGTTGAGCCTCGGGCTCGGGAGTGACAAGTTGCTAATATGCAGAAGGGATGGGTGTTCTTTCTTGCTTCTCATGCATGTTTCTGTATGTTAATGACTTGTTGGGTAGATAAACTTGTAAGGTACTAGAATTGATATAAATGTGTACAGGGTCCTTTTGCAATAAAACTGGTTATGACTTGATCCAAGTGTTTAACAATTGGGGCTGTTAGTCTGACCATGCATCACTGTGATCAAATGTGGACTTCCTTCAGAGGGTGAAACTACAAGTCTTAACCACAGTGTAACTTACAGTTTCCTAAAAAAACGTAAACCTGGCAGCTATAGAATACACTATGTGCATTTATAATAGCTATTTTATATATTGTAGTGTCAACATTTTTAAATTAAATGTTTTACATTCACATGTGAGGAGTCTTTGTCATTTGGTTTGAATGGGCTTGAAGAAGCTTCTGCCTCCTACAGATTGCTGTCATCGTGGGCTGCTGCTGGGGCAGCTTAACCTCTGCTGGCACCAGAATGGGGAACTTCTGGAGTGTTTTGGAGAGTTTGAGCTGCTTGAGTCCTTGCTGTGGCCAGAGGGAGCAGATCCCTACAGCTGTGTAGGGTCCAGGGGGTCTGGCCGAGGCTGCAGTGGCTTTTTGGGGGGCTTTTCTCTAATCAGGGCACAAGCTGAGCTCTGCAGTTCTTTCTTCCTTTCCCGTGGATGCAGGGAAAGTTTATTTTGGAGTTAAGACTGGTCTGGCTGAAGCAAACCCACCTGGCTGTTCCCGAGCAGCGGGGGGAGCGTTCCCATGGGATTGGGCTGTGCAGTCCTGGATCTGCACGGGGCACAGCTGATTTTACACCCTGGCAGCACAGGGGCTGCTGAGCACACGGCTGGGTGCTCTGGGATTCTCATTTCCCATCCAGGATTTTGGATGGAAGGTGATGGAACTCAAGGCTTGGCTTTAGGCTGCTCTGGGTTCCTCAGCTGCCAGGCCCGGCTGGGCTGGGCTGGAGGAGTGCTCAGGCTGCAGCTGCCCCAGGGTGATCAACACCGAGACAGAACAGGCTCTGCAGGTGAGGCTAGAGCTGTCACAGAAAGCAGCACAGGGAAGTGGTTGAGCCGGCCTGGCTTGATTTATTCCAGTGGAAGGAAGCGTTGTGCTGTTCTGGGGGAAGAGCAGCAGCAGTTCCCACCAGCCTCGAGTGAACTGGAGCTGGCTGTCCGTGCTCTCCCGCCACGATGGTGAGGAAGAGCATGGAATCCATCCCCAGTCCCTCTGGGAGGCAGGGCCTGCACCCCTCGTTTGCTGCTGGGACGGCGGTGCCTTGGTGTGCTCCTTGCTCAGACAAACCACTCTGTGTGCTTAAACCCTGCAGCTGGAGGAACAGGCACTGCTCACCCACCTTCTCACACGGCCTCCTCCTCCTCCTCACCTCCCCGTCCTACACTGCTCCAGCCCCTGGCTCGCAGCAAAAGTCCTGTTCTGAAAGGATAGGTTTTAAACAAGTATTGTCCTATTTTACTTGCTAAATCTGTAGGGGGAAAGATTCCTTTGATACAAAGTAATTAGGTTCACAACTCGGACACAAAGACCGGCTCACAGTTCAGGTGGGGCTCAGTGATCTCAGGTCAGTCACCTGGGCAGGTCTCTCCAGGGACCCTGCCTGCCAGGAATGTCCCCATGGGAAATCGGAGTGTCCTCAGTGGCCCAAGTAATTCAGGAAGAACCACGCAGCTTGCATTTAGGCCAATTGAAAATGAAAAATTCCAAGTCATAGGATTTTTTTTTTTTTTTTTGTGAATGCTTGGTTTGGTGCTGAGCTGCAGTAGCAGCCTCAGCTCCTGCAAGAAAAGTATGTTTAAAATAACATCCCTTGAAAACAGTATTTCCTCCAAGTCCTTACTGGAAACAATGAAGCATCTGGGTATGCCTAGAAGCTGTTTCTTAAAATAAAATCATTGTCTAGTGGTCCTTAAAAAAAAAAAAACAACAAAAAAAACCCACACGAGAGAAATATCTCTTCATCTTAGTAACCTCAACAGAAGGAATTAAGTCAGATCCTGCATGTGGTGGACCAGAACAGAATTCCTGGTATTCCACGGTGTGACTGATGGCAGCTGAAGCCATAAACCCTTCCCTTACCGATCCTGCCGATGATTTCCTCGCATTCTTGCTCAGAACTGGATGCAAACACCAGGCAGTCAAACGTGCTCCCGTCAGGGCTCTCGGGGGAAGAGCTAAAAATGGAAACGCGTCCATTCTCCAGCAGAGCTCCGAGCCCAGCCCTGCCTCCCCCTGCACCAGGCTCCCTGTGGCTGCTCTGGACCTGGCTTGCTCATTTTCCCAGAGCCACATCCCCCTGTGGCCCTGCCAGGGCCCGCGGGCAGCGCTCACAGCACGCAGAAGGCGAAGATCCTGGGGCTCCGCGGGCAGCGTCCCACGCAGGAGATGGAGGGGTAGGGATGGCGGCGCAGGAGCTGTGCAGGGGACGGGAAGGGGACGCTGTGGTCAGGCCCTGTCGGCCCCGTTCCTGGTTTATCCTGTCCCCAGGGTGCCTCCAGCTGGGCTCCCCATGCCACCAGGTTCCCTGACCTTGGATGTCGCTCACTCACCTTGGAAGAAGCCTTCTCCTGCACAAGGACTTCTGCCTCCTTCACATCAAATAAAACCTCCTGCAGGGGGGATGAGGGGGGAGAAGCCCCGATCAGCACAGCCCTGAGCTCTGTTTTTAATCAGACACTCACCAGAGATTATCCAAATGCAGAGGCGATGAAGCACAGTCAGCCTCAGCTTTTTCAAATTTTCTCTCTGCTGCCCTTTTTTCCCCACCACCCAGTGCTTCCACACTTAAATCTTTTCACAAACAATCCCCAGAGGCTCAAACAGCAGTGACCTGAGCCCTAAAGCACCCCCAGAATCAGGCTTAGCCTTCCCAGAGTTTTCCAAGTGCTTTCCTGCATGCTGTTGCATTTTTTCCTTAATGCCCTTTCCTATCCTGGCTGCTGAGATGCTTCTGACCTGAAAAAACCCCACAGGGGTGATGGGGTGGCAAATATTCAGCCAAGCCAAGTGAACCTGGAGCTGGAAAAAAAATATCCATGGCCTGCATCCTCTGACAGAGCCCTTCCCAGGATGTCCCCAGCCCTGCTGCTCACCCGTGCTGCCAAGTTCCTCTCCAGCACGGCAGGGATGGCCCCCTCCAGCACCTCTTTGCCACCATACTGAAATGGAATGGGAAGGAGGGAATAACCCTTGGACACATGAAAAGAACCCCAGAAGAGATGATTCACGCCCTGGCAGGTCTCTGCCCCACGGCCTCACCGTCCCAACGCTGGTCTGGCCCAGGAACAGCAGGTTGTAGAGCAGCCTGGGGAGAAAAGGGCTCGGGGGGCATCAGAGGAAGGACCCCACACATCCCTCCTGCTGCTCTTTGCAGGGGAAGATGCTCCCAGCCCCCTCCTCACCTCCAGGCCATGGGGGCAGCCTTGCCCCCACAGCCTGGAGCAGAGATCAGGGACAGTGTGGGCACAGTGCCACCCCAGTGCCAGGACCCTCAGCCCAGCCCGGGGGCTGCCCATGGCACAGACCCACCTGCCCCCCTGCAGCTGCCGGGGCTCCCCCTCGCCCCTGTGCCGGGGGCTGTGCTGCAGCTGGAACTGGGGCTCCTTCTCCTTCAGGGCCTTCAGGTAGGGCAGCAGCGGCTCAAAGACTGTCCCCTGGTGCCACCGCCAGCGCAGCAGGCGCAAGGTGAGCGGTTGTCCCTTCAGCCTCTGCAGCACAGCCCCAGCCTAGAGGGAGGAAGGAGCAGAGGGGAGCAGGGGGCAGAAGAGGGGGACAGAAGCCCTCTGTCCCCACCCACCTGCCCGGGGGAGGCGTATCTCAGCGAGCAGCCGTTGATCTCATCGAGGATGTCACCGGCCAGCACCACCTCGTCCACCTCTGCCTGGCTCTCGGGGAGCACCTTGGTGACAAAGACTCGGCCGTCCACGTACCTGGGGGTGCAGCCAAGCCTCAACTCAGCCCCAGAGAGCCTGCCTGGCTCCCCTTCTGTACCATCCCTGACATTTCACCCATGCACTGAATGCAGGGAAAAGCCACCTCATGGACAGCAGATACTGGTAAGGCTGAGCTGATGGGGAGAAAAGCACCCGAGACAGCCCCAATGCTCTCAGCGGATATTTATTTCCCTTTTTGGGGCATTTTCAGTGCTGTGGTGACCAGATCCCTCTGGAGAGTGGAGAGGAGGATCAAGAGTTCCTACCTGAGCACCATCCCCAGTGCTCGGCACGGGACTGTCTCGTAAGTACTGCACACCTGAAAGAGAGTGGGTGGTGACAGTGCCCTTGGCAATGGCCGTGGGACACCCAAGGGACCCCATGCCCTGAATACTTTCTGGCACTGATGCTAACCCAGGGCTTTGGGTGCCCAGGGAGATGCAAGTCCCAGTGCCCCAGGCTGAGCTGGGACCATCAGTGGCTGCTTGTTTCTGTCCTCTCTCAGGATTCGGCTGTGCCCAGACCCTGAAGGGACAAAGCTGCCCTATGGATGGGATGGCAAAGCAACAGCAAACCCTTAACTCATTGAAGAGCCCTCCTGCCTCACCCTACACGTCCCCATGCAGCCGGGGGACGCAGCTGCCCCTCCCCAAAGGCGCTGCTGTTTGCAGCAGCACTTACTGTCACATCGCATTAGCCGGGGCTCGAGACGCGGCCAGCTCGGCCGGGGGCACTGGCTGGCAGAAATGCCCCAAAGCCAGCAGGATCCCAGGCTCTGCAGCAGCACCACGCTTCAGTGCATGCCTTGACCAGTCCCAAAGCTGCCTCGAGCTTTTTGGGGATTCTTTTGGGTTTAAAAGGTGGTGGAGGGATGCTCTTCATCGTTAAAAGACATGAAGGCGTCCCTGCTGCTCTCAATAACACACTGATGTTTCACTGAGCAAACCAAGAGTGAAACCAACTGATGCGTAATCTGTGTCAGCCCAGGGAAATGGGGATTTTTTTTGGCAAGAAATCAGGGACGGGAGCATGGGAAAACTTCACTTATATCAGCAATTTAGGCCTGGGTACTTCTCTTGCTTGGTTTTACTCCTGGGAATGCTGGAATCTGCTCCTGGTGACAGCACAGGTACCCAGCAGGATCCAACCTCCATAGCAGAGGCAGCTCTGCTCATCCTGGTGAACCTGAGCCAATTCACCCCGGGGTGTGTGGCAATCCCTCCCCACCAAACCGTTCCTTATCTTCCTCATTTGACTTGTCAGGGAGGGCCAGGTGGCGGAAGCGGCTCCCGGGAGCGATGGGCTCTTACCGGCAGCAGCCAGCTCTCGTCCAAGAAGCTGCAATTCTGCAAACAAAGGAGTGTCAGCACCATCAGTCCCGGCAGGGAAGGGGCCAGGGCCCCACGCTGGCAGCCCTGTGCTGGTCACCACCCCATTGATTCACCACTGCACCTGCAGGTCCAGGGAGAAATCTATCTCTGTCAGCACCAGCAGCAGCGAGAGGAAAGGCTCTGCAGAGGGATGGGGATGGAGAGAGAGGCAGTGTCACTGCTGGACTCCTGGCAGCCACAGCCTCACAGGGGCACGGCAGAGGACAGAATAAAGCCATTTGCAGTGTAACTAATGAGTCCTGGGAGAGAGGCCTTGAGAACATCCCAGCACCATGCACACAAGTGCTGCTGGAGGCTCATCCCAGGCTCCTGCTGCCGGCACAGGTGCAGCTTGGTACCTTTTTTCCCAAAATTCAGATGAAGACTTGCAAATGCCACTGACTATTCCTCCCCTTAGAAGCCCAGCAAAGCTGCCCAGGCTCTCCTACACAAGCCTTGCAATGACAGTGCCAGGTCTGCAATCTGCTCATGCACCAGCAGCACGGGTGATTTATAAACCATTGATGTACAGGTTTAACATGGGGTTATTTATCATAACCAAAAGATTAAAGGCTTCCACCCTGGTCTGGCCCCCCAAAGAGCCTGGCTGTGGATGGATGGAGTGCTGCAGCCTGTCAAGGCAATGTAAAGGTCATTTAAACCCCTGTGCCACCCCTTAGCCCAGGTTGATCCACCACGGCCTCCCCTCAAAGCCAGACTGGCTCTGCTTAAGCCAGAATCCTTGGTACAAATGAATAACATAGAAGATACTTCAGAAGAAATTTTCCTATCCCATGCCACTAAAGCAAACCTTAGATGGAGTCAAATCATGTTTAAATATTTACACGGTTTTTTAGTTTTTTTTGGTTTTGTTTTTGTTTTTTCCCCCCATCACTGCAGCAATGTATTTAGATTCCAGTGCTAAGTTTGGATTAGAAAAATCACAGTGGACCCTTCCCCGTCCCCTACAGCAGTGCAGTGCCATAACACAGGCTGCATCCTGCCTCGGGCGAACCACCATCTTACCCCGGAGATCTTCACTGCCGAGGATGGAGCTCCCTGGATCATAAAACTGAAAGCCAGTGAAATAGCCCGGGTTACGCCTGCGTTTCGCAGCCCACCGCCCGTGGGTAGCATCTCCCCCCCAACGTGCCCACCTCCAGGAGTCGGGGGCTCTGTGCCAGCTGCCCCACGGCCACCGCCAGCACCTTGCCCTGCAGGGCAGAGCGCAGAAAGCATCGCCCGCGGCCCTGCGCCGTCCGCGTCCGCCCGCAGCCCGCGGCTCTCCGGATGCTGGCGGACAGAGGGACAGGCCTGTTCGGGGACAGGGGAAGCAGCTTTGGCAGCACACCGGAGCGTGTGACTCCCTGCACCTGGGGTCTTTGGCATGAGCATGTCGCGACAGGCTCCAGCACAGCTCGGATTTTCACCCCAGTCTGGCTCGGGGGCGCTCACCCGCCGCTGGTCCCCGCGGGGAGCTGCTCCAGCCAGTGCCAGTAATCCCGCCTGCGGAAGCCCCAGGCCGGTTCTGCGGGAGAAAGGGAGCGCCAGACCCCTCGCCGCCGGCCCGGGGACGCTGCCACCGCCCGCCCGGGCACGAAGGGTCACTCACGTCGGAGCCCCTTGCGCAGGATGCTCTCCAGCAGCTGGCAGAGGGACACGAGGTGCGGCGAGGTGTCCGTGCAGGGACCCCCGCCCTCCCGCAGCCGCAGCACCCCTCCTGCGGGGCGGAGAGAGAGCGGCGGCGCCCGTGGGTGCCCAGCCGGGGAAAGGGGAGAGGTACCGGGGGGATAGCTCTGCACGGCCCCGCGGGGGGGTCCGACACCCGGGGAAAGGGGAGAGGTACCGGGGGGATAGCTCTGCACGGCCCCGCGGGGGGGTCCGGCACCCCGGCACGGCACGGCCCGACCTTCCCGGGCTGCCGCCGCTGCGCTGGGCAGGAATTCGGGTAAAGTTCTTCAAAGCCAAGGTCAGGCGGCCGGGCTGGTCCGGGGAGCCCCAGCGAGGCCCCGCCGTCGGTCCGGTCGGACCGGTACCGTGCGCGGCCAGGAGAAGCTCGCACAGGTGCCGGGGGGCCCCACGCTCACCTTTAAGGGCGCTGAGCAGCGGCTCCTTCCTGGCCATGGGTTCGTCGTCCCCCAGGGCCAGGTGATCCCGCGAAGGCGGCTGGATGGGAGCCAGGAACCGGGAACCAGGAACGGGGAACCGGGAACCAGGAATAGGGAACGGGCCCCGCCCCAGGAGCGGAGCGGAGCAGCCCGGCCCCACGGGCGGGGGGAACCTCACACACACACAGGTGTACGTGTACTGCAATGGAAAGCACAGGCGCCGATGTACATAGGTGTAACACCGTGACACATGTACCTATTGGTCTGTACAGACATATAAATTCCATGCATTGCATAGGCAGAACCCGCATATATGAGACACACGTGCAAAACAAACACGCATTTATCTGTACGTGTATTAGGACAGGCTTTGGGATATGGATATACGTGTCATAAATCTTCGGTGCCGGCCCCGCCGCAGGTACACGCGGGGCGTGTGTGGGCGAGCGCTCGCCCTGTCCGTAGGGATGTGCACGAACAGCGATTCCCAGGACCGTGAGAAGAGGCGGCGCGGGGCGCTCGGGGCGGTGCGGGACCCATCAGGGGCAGTTCGGGGCTCCCAGGGAGGTGCGGGGCGCTCGGGGCAGTGCGGGCTGCTCAGGGCGGTGCGGGACCCATCAGGGGCGGTGCGGAGCGCTCGGGGCGGTTCCGTGCGCTCGGGGTAGTGCGGGCTGCTCAGGGGCGGTTCGGTGCGCTCGGGGGCGGTGCGGGGCGCTCGGGGCGGTTCGGGGCGCTCGGGGGCGGTTCGGTGCGCTCGGGGGCGGTTCGGTGCGCTCGGGGCGGTTCGGTACGCTCGGGGCAGTGCGGGCTGCTCGAGGCGGTGCGGGGCGCTCGGGGGCGGCGCGGGGCTGCCGGGGCGGTTCGGGAACCACCAGGGGCGGTTCGGGAACCATCAGGGGCGGTGCGGGACCATCGGGGGCGGTGCAGTCCGGCCATGGCGGAGCCGCAGGAGCCCGGTTCGTCCTCGCTGCTGGCGGCCGCTCGCCGGGCGTACGAAGAGGCTTTCGGGGGTGCGGCGGTGGTAGCGGCGTGGGCCCCCGGCCGGGTCAACCTCATCGGAGAGCACACCGACTACAACGATGGCTTCGTGCTGCCCATGGTAAGGGCCGTGCTCTGCCGCCCCGGCCCCGGGCTCTCGCCGTGTCACCCTTCCGGGTCCTCCTGGCAGCCGCCCGGGGGTCCTCGGCCACCGCCTTCCCACCCCTTGTGAGGATGCCCCCTCCAGGATACCCCACCCAGGAGCCTGAGGGATCCTCCGGGATCCCCTGCCCGGGAGCGCGGGGTTCGGAGCCGGACCTGCGGCAGCCCCCCCTGCAGACCGACTCCTCACGGCTTCACGGCGATGTGATTCTCTTCCCAGCCACCTCTCCGAGAGGCTGAAGCCTTTTTTCTGCAGCCCCGTCAAACTTCCCGTTCCCAGAGAGCGATGTTTTGGTAGCAGAGATGGTTCAGAACAGCAGGAGCTTCCTGCTCCTTGCGAGCCGCTTTGGCTCAGCGGCAAAGTCCCCACTCAGTCCTAAATCAAACCTACAGCTAATTACTGTGAGGCCGAGGAGCGTGGGAGCAGGTCAGCTAAATTCCCTGGCAGGCAAGGAAACTTCCCGAAGTTTCTTGGTGTGGTTACCACTCCCCCGGAGCCCAACAAGCAGCACCCGGCACCGAGCTGGGGGGTCAGGCACATTCAGGGGGAAGACTGACCCCGTGGGTCAGTAAATAGGAAGTTTAATTCTGTGCCAAACCAGAGGGTGCCGTGGGGGCTCTGGAGGGTTAAAGAGAACACTTGGATGCTCCAGCCGTGGGCTGAAGCAGCCACAGCTGTCACCTGCCACCTGTGGGGATGCTCCAAGGGGTGCTGCCGGGTCTGAGCCCACTTTCCCCACCCCCAGGCCCTGCAGCTGGGCACGGTGCTGGTGGGATGCCCCACGCAGGACGACACCATCTCCATCGTCACCACCTCGGCAGAGGCAGATGAGCCTCACAAGGTGCAGTTCCCGGCTCCCCGTTCCAACAGCTCCCTGAGCCCGGGGATGCCTCGCTGGGCCAACTACATCAAGGGCGTCATCCAGCACTACCGGGGTAAGGCCTGGGCTGAGGGCTGGGTCAGAGCCCCCCTTGCAGGGAACTGGTGTTGAGATCCAGCTTTGGGAGTGCTCCAGGGGCTCTTCTAGTGTCTGTGAAGTCCTGCAGCTCTGCCAGGACCAGGCTCCAGAAAACTCGATCTCAGCACCAAGGTTCCTGTGCTTGGGGGGCTGCAGGGTCACACTCTGCTGTGGGTCACCCTGTGTTCTGAAATGTTGCACAGGGGCTCCTTGTGCTATTCCCTGTGAGCTGTGGGGCACACACAGCCCGGCAGGGGCTCATGGCCCCCCTCCTCCCTTCTCTTCCTGCAGGTGGTCTTGTGTCAGGCTTCTGTGCTGTTGTGGCCAGTAACGTCCCCCTGGGCGGGGGCCTCTCCAGCTCGGCTTCTCTGGAGGTGGCTACCTACACCTTCCTGCAGCAGCTCTGCCCTGGTAAGGCAACAGCCCGTCCTGAGCCCTGGCATCTGCTTCCAGGTGGGAGCTGGGATGAGGGGGGTGCCCTTAGCTAGATCACACAGCCCTTGGGAAAATGCTGCTGTGAGTGGGTAACAGCTCCCCAGCTGGCACTGCCCTGCCTGTGTGGTTCCTCTGGCTCATCCAGCCTGACCTGCCTAGACCTCTTAAATCCATGGACCACTCCTGGGGCTGGCCAGGGGGATGAGAGGAAGTTCCCTTGGGAGCATCCTCTCTCCACCCTAATAGCCCCAAAAATCAAGATACTGAAACACCACTGTCAATTATCACATCCAGCTGGATCTGGGCTCCAGGCTGCCATAGATGCCATGCAGTGGTGCAGCAGCAAGCTCCTGCAGCTGCAAAACCCCATTCCATGGGAAAACAACCCTTTGCCTCCATGTTTGCTTCCCCTGCTCCCAGGGAAGGGACAAAGTTGCAGGAGCTGCTAACCTGTGTGTCTCTGCTGTGGCACAGACGATGGGGATTTGGTAGCCAAGGCCCTGGCGTGCCAGAAAGCGGAGCACACGTTTGCTGGGATGCCCTGTGGGATCATGGACCAGTTCATATCCGTGATGGGCCAGGAGGGCCACGCGCTGCTCATCGACTGCAGGTCAGGGTCAAACTCGCTGTGCTGTGCCCACCTCCTTGGGCAGCTGGGGGTGAGCTGGCCCTGTGGCCATGAACTGAAGGCAGGAGTGCAGGGAGAGGTTAACCCTTGAACCCAGCCCAAACCTCATCATAGGGGTGGGGCAACCTGCACTTTAATTCCTCCTGGTCTTGATTCCTCCTCCTGCAACCTTTCTGCTGCTTGCCCGGGCTGTCTTTCCTGCCGTCCTTAAGGTCTATTATGAAACTAATATTTGGAGGGAGTGAAGTGCTCGAGTGAAGTCCCAAACCACCTGGACTTTGCCTCTGTAGTTCAGGCTCTGCCTGCTACGTGGCCTCAGGTGTCTGAGAGCCGGGGGGGCAGGGGGGCATGCACATGGCTGAGCTCTCCCTGCAGGTCCCTGGGGACCGTGCTTGTCCCGCTGAGCGATGCCAGCCTGGCCGTGCTCATCACCAACTCCAACGTGCGGCACACGCTGACGGGCAGCGAGTACCCCACGCGCCGGCGGCAGTGCGAGGAGGCAGCAGCAGCCCTCGGCAAGTCCAGCCTCAGGGATGCCACCCTGGCCGAGCTGGAAGGTGGGGACAGCCCTCTCCTTATCTCTGGTCACTCCTTGGGCCGTCGAGAGCTTGGTGCCCCGTGGGCTGAGCCCTGGGGCAGGCGGGTGGGCGCACAGCCCGTGGTGCAGGCAGAGAAGCTTTGGCACAGGATGGTTGCAGGACGTAGCCCTGCAGCATCCTGCGGGCTGTGAGGCTTTGCTGCAGGGACACAAATGTCTCTGCAGAGGCCAGGAGCCGCCTGGGGAATGAGGTGTTCCGGCGGGCCAGGCACGTCATCGGCGAGATAGCACGGACAGAACAGGCAGCGCAGGCGCTGCAGCACAAGGACTACAAGACCTTCGGGAAGCTGATGGTGGAGAGCCACAACTCCCTCAGGTGAGGGTGACCAGGGATGCTGACAGCCCTTCTAGGCAGAGCTGGGCTCTGCAGCACCAGCATCGCTGCCACGGCGGTGGCTGCACCAGGACACGAGCTGGAGCTGCCAGGGCTGCAGTGTTGTGCCCAGGGTGCAGGACACGGCAGAGCACGGCTCTCCTCTCTCCAGGGATGACTTTGAAGTGAGCTGCCCAGAGCTGGACCAGCTGGTGGCAGCAGCCCTGGAAGTCAAAGGGGTTTATGGCAGCAGGATGACCGGGGGAGGCTTTGGAGGCTGCACGGTGACACTGCTGGAAGCTGGGGCTGCAGACAAAGCCCAGCAGCACATCAAGGTAGGTGGTGGAAAAACCCCAGGAGACTGACTGAAAGATCCCAAGGGACCTCTCAGGGGCACAGCACAGGGATGCTGTTGAACTGTCGCTCCTGAGCCGTTTGGGGTTGGTGGAGCCCAACCACGGCCCAGAGTCTCTTGGTGTCACTAAGCTCTTGCAGACAGTTCAGTACTGTGCCAGTCACAGAGCCCTGCCCCAGGACCCCTTTGCACTGAGAAAGGGAGTGACAAGGTGCTGGGGGAGCTTCAGGAAGGCCAAATCCATCCACAAAAGAGTGATCTGAGCTGAGCTTGGGTACTCCTGTGCTGAACACTGGCCATTATAGCCTGGGAAAGATCTCAGTGCCATCACCAGTGTTCCCTAACTCAGCACCTTGCTGTGCACAGGTAGCTGGAAATGCCAGCAGAATGGGGGTGTGAACAAGGCAGAGCATATTTTGCTGCTCTATGAGATCATGGTGTGCTCTGAAAATAGCTGGGGGAGGGGGAAAGAAGGGGTAGAGGAGGGTCTGAAATGAGAGGAGACCAAAAGAGCTTTGGCCTCTGCCAGGTGGGAGAGGGGAAACATGACCAGGAGTTACAGTACAGTGAAGAGAGGAGGTAGAGTGAGTGTGGAACTGACCAGCAGGGCCTTTCCCCCCAGCTCTGGCCTCCCCCAGCCCCAGAACCCCAGACTCAACTGCTCCTCTTGTTTTTCAGGAGAAATACAGTGGCACGGCCACCTTCTACCTCACCAAGCCCTCGGGAGGGGCAAAGGCTCTGCCCCTGTAGAGGAGTGACCACCACCCCTGGAACCTTGGGCTGGCATTGCTTCCCTCCCCAAGGCTTTCCCAAGGGGATCAGTTTGTCCATCTGCACCATTTGCCTAATAAAGCAAAACATTTGCAAGTAGTTCTGTGCCCCTGTGAGCCAAAATTCCTTGGGACTGTTCCTCAGAGGATACTGGTTTAACTCCAGCTTGCATTGGTGTAAGGAGCCATTACCAGAGCTGTGGAGGCCAGCAGAGCTGCACTCACAGGAGGGGATGGCAATGCAGGAGCAGCAGAAGTTCCTGCTTGGGAATCTGCCTCTGGCCCCTGCCCTGCATCTGCTGCAGATGGAGGACAGCAGGAAGCGGGGAGGGATTTTTTATTTTACTCTAAAAAGAAAAAAAAATAACAATAAAGAGGCAGAATATAGAGAAAATATTTATTGAGTGCAAGAGGAAGCCATCTGATCAAAGACCTGCTCTGTATCCATCTTGGAAAGGCTGAAACAGCATCAGCTCCAACAACCAGATGGAATTTAAAAAGACAGGCCTGGGTTAGTGCATGTGCATGGGGAAGGCCAGAGTCCCTGGAGAGCAGCTGTGGGCCATGCTCTGCTCTTGGAGAACAGGATCATCTTTGGTTAAAATGCTTGGGAAACTCCCTTTTTAGGCAGTTCTCAGTGTTTGACCCTGGACCACAAAGCCCAGGGACAGGGTCACAGAGTCCTTGAGCAGGAGGAAAGAAAATCCCAACCCCAGGCAAGAAGGGGGCAGGGAAGGAGGCAGCCTCATGCCACTGGCACCTGCTCAAGAGAAATAAGTGCTTCTTGAAGGCACAGTAAAACCTCAGGGTTGGTGAAGGATCCCTTGAGCCAAATTCAAAACTGACCCAGACACGGAGATTCCTGTAGACTTGATTCACCCACATCCATCTTTGGCTGAAAGATGTACAGCCCTGCCCCCAGTGAAATACAAAGCCTGAAGATAAGAGGGAGCTGTTGGTGGTGAGCTCTTCTTTAGTGTCCAAAAGAAAAATGAAAAAAAAAATTAAAGAAAACCACAAAAAAAGCCAAGGTTCATTGTGAGATCAAAGCAGGCTGGTGATGCTGCCAGGGGCCCAGGCAGCTGCTGCTTTGGTTGGAAGCTCTAACCCACAGCAGTGGCTGCTCCTTGCCTGCTCTCATGCAGCTGGAACACACCAGAGAAAGCTTACACTGCTTGTTTTCCCTGGCAGAGGGCAGGGAGCCTCCAGGGATCCTGCCCAGCACTGGGACATCAAACCCAGCAGGGGCTCAGCTCAGCCCAGCCCTGTGTGAGGGGAGCTGAAGCTGGGGCTGCAAGAGTCCCAGACTTGTTCAGGATGGTGGGAGTGCCTGGCTGCTCTTCTTTGATGTTTACTGATAGATCACAGGTCCCTTTATGGATGTCACTGCTGAGCAAAAAGTCTTTTAAAAGATACCCAACTTCTCCCCGAAATCTCAGTCTCCACATCAGCTGTGTGAGGAAACCCAGCACAGTTCCCATCCCTCACTTCCAGGAAGTTCCCAGCCCTTCTGTGTCCAAGGGCTCCACCTGGGAGATGTTCTGGAGTGAGTGGATCTGGCACCTTGTAGCCTTCTACTGGAGCCTCTGGTGCTGAAGGATACAAGGTCCAAGACAGAGCCCACCAGCCTCATCACAGGGTTCAAGTGGCCTTTGGATCAAGCCCTTAACTCATTTCTTCCAGTTATTCATGTTTCCCAGCAGCCACAATCCCAGTGTAGCCTCCACATTCAGCATAGGTCTCATCCACCTCCATTTTTTTATAAAATAATAAAATACATTTATATATATTTATATATATACTATGAAAACTGTACAATGTTGTATGCAAAAAAAAAAAAAAAAAGCATCTGAGGCCATCAAGTAATGCAACACAAATGAAAGGTTAGTCTTTGCTATTGTGTACCAAATGTCAGCAGCAAAGGACAGACACAAATAGGTGCAATAAGAAAGCACAGGTTACCCAAAAACCCTACCTTTGCAGCTGTCATAAAAACCCCCATACTGAACAAAAAAACTCCAGTGAACAGGCTAGTTGCCAGAGAGCCTGGAGCAAAAATGGAAATGGTGACCCTCTATAAATCATGGTTTTGACATCTGAGATCCTCTCAAAACTGTGGCCCTGACAATTAAATCATTCCATTCCATTTACCTGGGGAGGCTGAAGGAGGCCCCCAATTTCTGCCCTGAAGGATGAGCTTACACACCCAGCTGTGCCAGAGCTGAGTGTGCTGGGCTCCAAAGGAGGAGTCCAGGAGTGCCACAGAGATCTGTGCCTGCAGGAGGAGCTGCCCAAGCACCACCTGCATGAAGCACCTTTGTGTTGTTCCATAAAATCCTGGCACCTGATCCCAAAAGTCCTGCTGGTGCTCGGCCTGCCCGGCTCAGGCCTCGTAGAACTGCCTCTCCACCTGCTGGGTGAGGGTCCCGCTGGCCATCACCGTGTGGCTCACAAACTCCTGGGTCAGGGTGCTGCTGGAGTTCTCCACGCGCTGGGTGGTCACCAGCATCCCGTCTGCAAGGGGAAGGCACCAAGCGTGGGGTCACAGGGAACAGGCTCTGCTCTGCCCTGTGACTCCAGGCAGTTTGTTTTCCAGCATAGGAAGTGGTATTTAGGGACCTCTCCACACCAAGTGATCCAGTGCTTTGCTGTGTCACTCAAGAGGATGGATCTCCCAACAGCTCCCAAACTCTCATGTTACAGCACGAACCCACGAGCTCAAGGGGGATAACATGGGACAGCTGCATTGATGTGAATAAAGATGTTTGTCCCCCTGCTCTGAAGAGACTGAACCTTGCAGGAAGAGCTATGATTTGGTCCCTAGTGATAGTGCTGGAGGACTCTCAAATACAGCATTCCCTCCAGGACTGGGCAGCACGTGTGGAAATGACTGCAGCTCTCCCTGGGGCAAAGCAGGGACACAGTGTAGGAAAAGAGCTGACCCCCTTCAATCCCACCTGACGGACCCTCCTCCCCTGCCTTTGGCACTTGAGGTAAAAGCAGCCTCAGACCTTAGGACAAGCAGAATTACCCTTTGTTTTCTGAGGGCTGTAAAGCAACAATGAGTCCCTACCTGTGAAGTGGGGATCCAGAGAGGAATGGCTGATGCTGGTTTTGGTGGTGTATTCAGTGGGGAATTTGTAAACTTCTCTCATGTACTGCTGTCCTCCAAACTGGGAGAAAGCACCTGGGGAGAAAGAAAAGAAATAACAAGTCAAGAAATAACAAAGAGCTTCCAACTGCTCAACCCTGCACAGTGAGCACCAGCAAGCTCAGGAATTTTCCCTTGCTGATATCAGAGCCAGGTTCAGGAGGAACTGGGAGAACTGGAAAGGTCTCACACCGGGCAGTAAGAAGCTGCCTCCAGGTATTTGTACAAACAGGCAGAAGTTTCACCACAAGTTAAACACTGGCAGGTGTTCCCTCATTCTGCTCACCAGGCACAGCACTACCCTCATGGAAAACTGTCTCCAGGTCTTTAATGGAGCATGGAGTCACCACCAGAGCTGGAAAGTGACTGCAGGAGTTGTGTTCCCTCCTCTGAGAGTTTTCTCTTTGCACCTCCACAAAGACAAGGGTACTGTACCTCTGTCCTGAGATTCAATGGTGATGAGGCCTTCTCTCTCTGGCCCGAAGCCTTGGGTGGTGTTGGCTTGCACTTTGAACTTGTATGGGACATTCTCACTCAGGTGGGGCACAGTCAGGGTGGTTTCCAGGTTGTCTCCTTCAACATAGATTGTCCTAGGCTCCCCTAATCCATGGAGATACAGAGTGGTGAAGACAGAGCAGAGTGATGGTCCCTCCAAACATTCAAACTCCCCCTCAACTCTGCTGCCTTGTCTGTCCCTGAGCTTTACAACCAACGCCTGTAGGACTGCACCCACTTCTACTAGGGGTTAAAACAACCTCATTTCACTACTGTGGGGAGCCTCAACAACCAACCTCCGTGGGGTTTTGGCTGAGCTCCTTCCTCTTCCCACCACATTTATTAGCCCAGACCACACGACGGCACAAAGTGTCAGGAGCCATCAGCTCCCAGGCCTGGAACCAGCCTCATGCCCCCACTTTGTCTGCCCTGATGCAAGCAAACAACTCTTTTACTGGTCCCAGCCAAAATGTAGCAGACTGCTGCCTTAGCTGGAGGTATCTGGTGCTCTACACGAGGGACCTGTGCTGCCTCAGCCTGATGCTGTACCTCCTCCATGCAGCATCTCACAGGTGATCCTGTAGCCCAGGATGGGCCCGTTGGGCTCACGGGGCCTCTCCCAGCTGAGGTGCAGAGAGTCCGGGCTGAGGGCAGTGAAAACCAGGGGTCCAGGGGCACAGGGGGTGCTCAGGGTGAAGGGGGTACCTGCAAGGGCACGGGGGACACGTCAGAATCACAGCAAAGAGAGCCTGGGAGGGACCTGCACAGAGCATTTATGGAATGAGCTGGAAGGGCTCAGCTTCCTGGACAACAAGCGTGAAGTAAATGTGTGGGGAAGAGGGTCCTGTTCCAAACAGAGAGGAAAGAAAGGAGAGGAGAGGATGTGGCAAGGGGACAGCAAAGAGCCAGGCAGCAGTGCAGAGAGCAGCACAGACATCAGTGCCACCCTTCTGTTCCCAGCACCTCACCTGGCACGGGACTGAGCGGGCTCTGCGGGTCCACCTGGGACTCGATGGTGATGACTCCCTCCCTCTCGGGGCCCCAGCCCTCCTCGCTCTGTGCCTTCACCTTGAAGATGTAGGAGTGGTTGGGCAGCAGGTCCTCCACCACCACCGAGTTCTGGCTGGGGTTGGGGATGGTGATCCTGTGCACCTCTCCTGGGACACACAGGGAAGAGGATGTCAACGCCATGTTGCAGGCACAAAGAGCTGCAACTTTCACCTAAACTGTGTCTCAAACTGCCTGCAAAAGCCATCCAGGGTCCCTCCCCAAGCACCTGCATCACACCTTGCTACCAATAATGGGTAGTGCAGGATGAGATGTCTTTCCAAAAAAGGCTTGGGACAAACAACGGCTTCTTGAAAGCTCAAGGAGTTTCAGACAAAGGAATTATATTTTCACTAATACTGTCCTGAGTTTAATGTAAAAATAAGATATTTTCACTTCAATCCTTCTTCCAAGTCCCACCCATGTGTTGAAAAAAATTCATGTAAGATGTTTGTGCTGATGGAGAGAATCTATCAAAAGAGGTTTGTTTTTTTGGAGGAGAGATGATTCTACAAACAATACCAGGACTTGCTCTCCCTCTAGGAGAAACAGGGAATGAAAGTTGTGAGATAGCTGCAACACTTCCTCACCAAAAAAAAAAAAAAATCTACACAAGAAGCAGATTTAGGACCCTGAATCCCAGAATGGTTGAGGCTGGGAGGCACCTCTGGAGATCATCTGTTCCAATCCCCCTGGCTCAGAGCAGGGTCATCCAGAGCCAGAAGCCCCAGAGCAGACTCTCCACACTCAGAACTCCCCCCAGGCCCAGCGGTGCTCACTGACCTCCGTTGAGGAGCTGGTACTGCACGCTGTAGCCCTGCACCTCCTTCTCGCAGCGCGGCTCCTGCCAGCTCACCTTCAGGGACGTGGGGCCCAGGGCAGAGAACACCAGGCGGGTGGGGGTGTCGGGGATGCCCGGTGGCTTCCTGGAGTCTGAGGCAGAAAGGGAACATCAGGCTGCTGATTCTGGGGAGGGGGGCTAAGGGGGCTGGGGGAGAGGAGAGGGTGGCACAGGCAAACATGGGATGGTCCTGATGGTTCGGGGAGGACGTGGCGAGATGTCACCTCTGCAAGCTGATCTGTCATGAGGGGGACTGGCTGGCTCTGCACAGCCACGGGGATGTCCCATGGCCTCAGGGTGCCAAGCTTGGGTGGGTTAATGTAGGCAACATGCCCCTGTGGCAGAGAGCCCAGAGAAGGGGCCTGGTGCTGGCTGTGACCTTCCTCACCCCTAAGTACCCTGTGCAGTCTGCCAGAAGCTTCATAGACTTCATCAGGTGTAGGTCAATTAAGACTGGCCCTAATCTACAGCTAAATCAGGCTTCATGATTCAGGCCTCATGTTCACGAGGCCTGGAACCACATCAGGGTGCTCCTCAGCTCATCCCACTGGGACACAAGGCTCACAGAGAGCACAGCAGCCTCCCAGGTGACACCCAGGGACTGAAGCCCCTCGCTGACAAGGAGCTTGCAGAGGGACATCTCAAAAGGAGCACACGTTCTCCCCAAGAGCTCTTCAAAGGCCTGTGGAGTAAGACTGAGAACAAGAAGCTCGTTAGGAATGAAGAGAATGGGGACAATGGGTTGATCAGAGCACAGTGGCAGCAGTGGTGGTGAATTAATCAGTCCAGATGGGCTGAAACCTGCAATTCACCTGCAAATGGAAAGGTGATGTGATGGAGGTGCAGGCTGGGCCAGAAGGAAGATCAGCACAGCACACAGCAAGCCATGGAGAGGAGGTTGGGGGTGAGCAGTGGATGCAGCAGCTCATGGGTGGACGGTGGCTGGGCTGTTATGGGATGTGTGGCTGGCAGGAAGCACTGGACAAGCTGTACCTATGTACTTGCACATCCCTGTGGGCCCATCAGTCATGATTATAGAGTCCCGACAGCCAATGCTGGGGTAGTAACCCTTCACCTTTGCCCTGCTCCTGAAACCCACGTCCTGGGGCCGGAGGAGTGTCCTCCCAGCATCTTCATGGATGGGAGGGAGGAGTGTTCCCTGGTAATCTACAGAAATGGTGCAAGAAGAAAGAGAAAAACACCATTGGATATTTCAGAGCAGGTTCAGCCCAGGCTCCTGCACAGGTGACTTTTTAAGGCTCAGGTTTGAAGAATCTTTAAGCCACCTTCTGTCAGCACCGGCTGATTGACACACGTGGAGCTGAAAGGCAACAACACTGCTGGACAGAGTGAGGAGAAGAGACATGTGCTCTCCCTGGAGAGCTTCGTGGTGTGAGGATAAGGCTGGAGCTCCCTTCCCTGAGCACCCTGTGAGGGGTGGGACCCCTTTCCAAACTGTCTGGAAGCAGAGAGGCCTTAGCAAAGCACCAAGACACCAGTGGTGGGGACATGACCCTCTAGACCTGCGGGTCATAGGCCACCTTAGCTGTGAGCACAGTCCTCACCCCACGAGGGCTTTAGGGTGCAGGTCCAAAGAAAGTCACGGGGATGGAAGGGAAGGGCAGGTCCCATCCCTGTGGTACTCACCGTGCCCCATCAGCATTGTGGAGTAGTCCCTTGTCAGCGAGGAGCTGCCCATCACCCTGTGCTCCTGGTGCACGTGGGAGCTCAGCTGGTGGTAGCTGGTGTTGGCTGTCCTGGTCAGGGTGCCACTGCCACTGCCGGGGAAGGAGAAGTCCACTCGGCCATTCATCAAGTGCTCTGTGGAAGAGGGCACACCGTGAGGAATGTGGCTGTGGACAAAGCTGCTGCTCCACTTTCCACGGGGAGGAAGCACGAGGCATCATGGTGCCCCCCTGCCTCGGCTGAATCCCAGGTTCAGCCACTCTGGAATGTGATTCTGGAATGCTATATCTAGAACAAGCCACAACACCCAACACTGGACGCAGAAACAAAGAGATAAACAAAGACTTCTCCCTGCACCAGACACACCCATGGTGCCCAAGGTAACTCCAGACCTCGGCCTTGCTGGGGCACTGCCTTGTGGTTCTCGCCACATTCTCTCACATCTCCCCTTAGACGCAAGCACTGGTCTATAATTTCGAATTTTGAAAGAAGTTGGAAGAAGGAAAGTGGCCCTTTATGGAGGAGGTTTCTCCAGATCTCATTCTGGATCCCATCTCAGCTGGATCTGAAAAGCAAACTCCACTTTGTTGTTCTGGTCTGTGAAAAACAAATCCCCATCCCCTCCCAGCAGGCCAGGAGAGATCAGCCACCTGCAAGAGAGTGATTTCTGTTTAACAGTCCAGCAGACCTGCCCCAGAAGCTCAGGGCACTTAATTAAGGTGAAGAGCTGCCTTGGAGGTGGCACTTAGCAGGCATCATCTGAGTTTGCTCCTGCCTTGAAGATCCAGCCTTTGGTAGAAGCAACTTGCTAGCAGGCTCCCAAGTCCGTGCCGAGATGGGGGTTACCTTGACACCCGTGTGAGCAGACACACCAGGACAAGGTTTTGAAGCAGATCACACCAACACGAGGGTGGCACACAGGGGGAGGCAGGGGGCACAGAGCCCATCCTCGGGCCCCTCGGCTCAAAGCAGGACGAGACAGGACACTCAGTGCCGTAACAGAGCCGTCCTTCACCTGCTTGGGGCCGGGGCGTGCCGCTCCTCCTCGCAGTGCCAGGAGCCACAGCGCTGTCCTCCTCATGGAGGAGCCCCTCGGTGTCTGAGGAGAGGTGGCTGCTGCCAGACAGGCGGGGAATGGTTTCGGGTGGGAGCCTCCAGGTGATGCGGCGAAGATCCAGGTCTTCTCCCAGCAACGGCACAAATTTCCACCTGGAGCCTTTTGGGACAAGGCAAGCACTGGTGTTGGCATGGTCTGCAGGGGTCAGGGTGGGCCACCCACCGTGCTGCTTGCTGGGGAGAGGAAGGGACAAGCACCGGCGGGGACGATGCCTGTTCACAGCCCGTGTTCCAAGCGTGAGCTGAGGAGTTCAGGTGGTGCAACCATCTGGTAGATGGAGAGTGGTGGGAGCGTGACATGCAGGGGGTTCCTCAACCCCCAGACTGTTTTCCAGCCCTGTGTCCCTCATCACAGAAGGTGAGAGACAAAGTCCCACCACACGCCTGTCCCTGCATGAAGAGTCTGCAACAATTGTCCTCTGCTCAGGAGAGGTTTCATCACTCCTTGGTGTGCACTCGGGGTGGTTGGACTCCTGATCTTCCCATCACCTTGCTCTCTGAGAAGACCAGGGGACTCACTCTTGGGTCCCAGGCCCTGGAGAACCCTCCAGAGAAGATCCTACAGACACACCTCATCATTTCACTTGTGGTTCATGTCCCAGCACAAGACCAGGGAGTTATTCAGAAAGTGAAGGGATGGAGGAAGAGAGGCCAGTGCCTTCCCAGCACTGCTGCCTTCCCTCCTCTTGGCTTGGTCTAGGCCCTGAGCGTCCAGGGGACTCAGAGGTTTGTGCCTTGGCTGGTGCTTGTTTGCTGACATCTCATGGTCCAGCCAAATGGCAACACAAAGGGAAGATGAGCATGAAAAGCTCCTCTCCCATCCCACACTGAGATTTCTCTTTGCCCCATGGCTACAACAAGGAGGCACTGGCCTTGTTTACACTGTGACCAGCCAAGTGTTCCCAAGGATGCAGCTACTGAGCTTTGCAAAGGCTGATTTCCACCACCTCCACAACCTGGATCTCCCCATCCCTGAGAGATGGAAAGCAGCAGTGAAGCTCATTGCTGAAAGCTGCTGTTAAGGAAAATGAATGTTAGAAATGACCTTTTCAAGCTCAGAGACACGAACCTGAATCATCAGAGACACTGGGCCTCTTGCTGCCGGCTGGAGAGCGGAGCACGTCTGTGCTGTACATCAGGTAGCTGTCATAGTCCTCACCTCCGTCTGCATCAATGATGGGGGTATCAGGGATGATGGGGACTGCAGGAGAGGTGGAAAGTGCCATTAGACAAGCAGCAAAAAACCACACAAGCAGCAAAAAGCCGTACGACGCTCAGGCTGGCCCTCAGCATTCCCAGGATGGCTGGAGCAGCAGAGCAAACAGGAGGTGGGGAAGCAGTGGGGGTGATGGGGGGCTCTCCCCAGCACTGCCCCTGTCCCTCTGCCCCTTGCCCAGGCTGGCACTCACTGGACATGGGGCGCTTGGGCTGCGTGGCGAGGTTGATGGTGGCTTCTCTCTCGGGCCCCCAGCCCGCGCCGTTCCTGGCCTTCACCGTGTAGCGGTAGGGCTGCGACTCCCGCAGGTTCTCGATCAGCACCATGCGCTTCTTGGGGTCTTCAACCAGCACCTTCTTCATGGCCCCATAGGGTACTGCAAGGCACGGGCATGCCTGTCACCCAGCAGGCACAGAGGACCCCACAACACCCCACATTTTGGTGTCAGGATACAGCCTGGCTCTGGGAATAAGTGCAGCAGCTCTTTGGGCTGCTCACAACAGGCAGCATCACCTCAGGGGAATTCCCAAACCCAATGCTGAAGTCAACCTACAGGAGAAGTTTTCTGTTGCTGGTGTGTCACAAATAACTTCCTTCCTGGCACCCCACCCCTCTATCTAGACCTATTAACTAAGTTTTTGGGATGAAAAACAACATAAAACTATGGAAGTGAATGGGAACAGAGATTTTTGGCATTTGCAGGGTTAAATCTTTACTGGTGATTTTCTGTGCTGTTTCCATCAAGAAGTTAACCATCCAAACCCCGGTTCTCAAAAGAAACATGCCTGGAGCTGTTCTGGCTCTGCTGCTGCTGTTTGGGACCGGCCCAGCCTGCAGGAAGTATCCTCCAGCCCCTCAGCCTAGCTGGACTGTCCCATCCAAACCGAGCTCTTACCATTGTCCTCGTTGACAAGCCCGTAGCTGACTTCGTAGGCTGTGATCACCCCGTTGGTTTCTGCAGGCTCAGCCCAGCTCAGCTGGGTCACGGTGGAGGACACGACGTTGAAAGCCAAGCGCCCGGGCTCGCTGGGCACTGGGAAGGCAAAAGCAAAGGGCGCCCGTCACTGCGAGCCAGGAGCCAGAGGATGCCCAGGGATCCCCAGATCACAGCTGGGCTGCTGTGATCACTCAGTGACCCCAGATCACTCAGTACGTGACCCCGAGAGCACCAGAAGCTCAGGGCTGGGTGCAGAGGGACAAAGCTGCTCCCATGTGGAGGGCAGGAAGGTGTGGGGTCACTCACCCTCCTCCAGCGTGCGGCAGCGGACGATGTCCGAGTAAGTCCCTTCTCCCATGGCATTGTAGGCACAGACTTGCATCTCATAGTCAGAGAAGGGGTAAAGGTTGGTCAGCTCTGCTGATGGGGTTTTGACATCAATGAGATGGGCTTCTGACTCAGGGTCTCCCTGCATCCAGTATTTCACCTGGCAAAGCAAGTGCAAGCCATGATTCCTTCAGAACCTCACATGATGAGAGAGAAATTCCTTGTCTCTTACTAAATCAGCTCTTGGAATGGTGGTGTGCCATTCCTCTGAAATGGGAGGCCAGGACAGTCTGGGCTCTTCATGATAAGTGATGGAACTGGAGATGAACCCACCAGGAATCTTTCTTGCATATCCCTCATCCACCAGCAATGGTCCCTCAAGGATGGAGGGTTCAAGGGGTGAACTTGCTCCCTCTTTTGGGTGTGTACTTGGACACTTTTGGTACAAATGTCTGTGTGAAACACCTGCAGGAAGGGACCCACACTCTTCCCTGGGATCCACTCACCCCTTACCTTGTACCCCAGGGGTTTTCCTGGTGGAGGAAACCAGTTGAAGCTGATTTCCCTGGAGCTGAGGGCACGGGCATCGGGATTAAGTGGTGCACTCAGGCGGCCTTTGGGGGACTGGGGGACCTGGGCCAGGCCAGTCATCGAGGGGACACCATCCACCAGCTCTGCAGACAAGAAAGTTTACATCAGTGCCAGTCCTCCCCTTGGATAAAAAAGAAGGAAGCATGCCTCTCTCAGCACTGCCCTGCCATGCTGTGATAAAGACATTATTATTGTTATTGACCCACTTGATGACAGTTTTGCTTGTCCAGCCACAGGAACCACCACACACCATTCATGGCAAATCCTACCTCTCCCTTATTTTTATGGCTTTTCACTCAAATTTCCAAGGAAAAGGACTTAAGGATCCATTCCATTTCTTTACTGAGGGAGACGATCCATCTTCTCCCACCCAGTGACTATTCCCACTCGTGCCTCTAGAGGGGGACCCAAATCTACCAATGGGAGGAACCTCGCTGCGGCTTTTTGGGCGAGGGTGGAACCCTGTGCACGGCATCGGGACGGGATGGTCTGGGGAGGAGGTCCCACAGCCCCTGCAGCCGCTGCCAGCCCCTACCTGGGTCAGCAATGGTCACCGTGGTCTGGGGGTAGCGACCAATCTTGGCGCCGTACTTGGGGTGGAGGAGGTCGACAGCAAATTGCTTGAGCTGGCAGTTGTTGAGAAGGGTGTCTATCTCTGTCAGCTCCAGCAAGGGCACCTGCACCTCCTTTCGGGTCTCCCCAGGCTGGAAGACCAGCTCACCCTCCGTGAAGATGTAGTCCTGGAGGAGAAGGAAGAGGTGTGTTCAGGGTGAGGCTGGATGGGGCTCTGAGCAACCTGGTCTTGTGGACGACCAGGTTGCTCAGAGGCAGGGGGTTGGAATGAGATGGTCTGTAAAGCCCCTTCCAACCCAAACTGTTCTATGATTCTATGATTACAGCCTGCAGTATCCACAAGGAGATTCCCAAAGAGCCTCCCCCCCGTCAATCCCCTCTCATTTGCCTCCCAGTGCCCACAGCTCCAGGGACAGGTGGTACCCTCTGCCTCAGGCACAGACATGCTCTCAGGTCCTCCCTCCCCGAGGGAGCAAGGGATGGAGAAGAAAGTTTACCCTTGTGCTCACCTCAAGCCTTGGGTTCCCCCTGTCCCAGCCACGTGCTGATAACTCCTCTTGTGCACCCCCAGGGCTGGCCTTTTCCCAGCCCTACATTCCCCCTCCTTCCTGCCTGCCAAGGCCAGGAGCACCACGCTTACCCTGCCATTCTTGGCGGTGAGATCCCGGGTCCTGTAGGTGACTTGGGATTTCCCGTTGTCTATGATCTCCCTGAGGACAGGGATCTTGGCCAGCTTATCAAAGCGGCTGTGGGAATAGGCTGGCTGCAGGAAGGTGATGAGGCTGCTGGCTGGAAAGGGCAGGAGAGAAGGAATGTGTAGAAGAATCACATCCCAAACAAGTATCCTCCCCAAACAGAGCTCCAGTCACCCATGGGTGTGAACTGTGCATGAAATATCATTGCATGGGCTGGAGACTTCCCCACTTGCCATTTGTGCTCCCTGATCATAATACCAGGTGGGAAGCAGAGGGAAAGTGCTGGGGATGTTAGCACAATAACATCAAAGAAGTTCTGCCTCATGCCAGCACTTGATGAACTGGAGCAGCAGAGGAATGTGGTCAGCCCTTAATCTGTCATGGAATTGGCATCTAAACTTGTGATGGTCAAAGGTTTCTGTCAGCAGGGAAGATGGCCGTCCTTTGGATGCATTAAAGGATGTTCTGTCATGGAATTGGCATCTAAACTTGTGATGGTCAAAGGTTTCTGTCAGCAAGGAAGATCACCCTCCTTTGGATGCATTAAAGGATGCTCTAGTTTAGATCCAGGTGACTTCAGGAAGGAGTCACCAAGCAAATCTCTGCTCTGTGGTCCAGGGGTGCTCAGGTATGCAGACTGTGCCTTACAGACCACATCAGTCAGGACACTGGACACTCAGACACCAGCAGCTCACACGGGACACTCAGACACCAGCAGCTCACACGGGACACTCAGACACCAGCAGCTCACACAGTCACAGCCCCTCACCTTGCTCTTTGATGATGGTGATGTTGACAACCCTGCGCCCAATCTTCGCGATGCCGTTGGGGACCTCGATGGCCTCCACCTGCAGCTGCTTCTCATCATCATCATCATCCCTGATGAAGAGTGGGACACGGACGTCCACCAGCTCCACGGCCTCTTGGAACTCCACCATTCCCTGAGCATCTGGGGGAAAAGACAAGAGTGAGAGCTGGGAAATAACCCCTGTGCCCAGCCAGGAGCCGGTGCCAGGCTCTGCTCCCTACCTTGGTCTGAGGTCACAGTGTAATAACCCGGTGCAACCTTCAGGTCATTGAAGGCCTCATGGGAAACATGTTTTTCCACCGCTTTGATGATGTCTGGCTTGGCTGAGTAAGGGGCAGTGAGCACTGTGTCCACAATGGTGTGATCCTGCCTGGGAGCGGGGAGGGAAGGGTAGGTGAGAGCTGGGACCAGGCAAACTCATCTCACACAGCAGCTGGGGGGCCAGTGAGTGTGTGGGGCACTCAGTCACCCCACACGTGTCTGTACAAAGAGGGAGAAGCTGCACCAGAGAGCTGCAAATTCCTCTTACCTTTTCCCAGAATTAGGCTGTAACCTGGGGGAATAAAAAAAAGCCAAACCCAAATCAGAGTGACTAACACCTTTGGAGAGACAAAGTGCTGTGTGAATCACAGGCTGTGCAGGTCTGAGCTGCAGCACTGCCCTGCGGGTGCCAACCCATCCCACAGGGCCCCAGCACATGTTCCCTCCTGCCCAGCTGCTCTCTCCTGCCCTGGGTTTCCCAACGCAGCAAGGAACGTGCCCATGGGGGAAACCACATCTGGATCAGGCTGTGGGGAGGAGATACCACTCCCTGCTCAGCACTGGCATCCCCAAATTCCTCCCAGCCTGCACCAGGCACTCCTAAGTTTGCACCAGGCTGAAACTTTTGAAGCCAGTGGGAATTCTCCCATCGAGCACCATGAGACCAGGATTTGTTCCTGCTGCTCCAGAGCCAAACTCAGCTGAGATCTCCTCCACAGCTGGGTGGGCTCTGCTCTGCAGCCCTGGGCGGGTGAAGCACCACACCAGGCTTGTCTCACAGACCACACTCCCTCCCAGCATTGCAGATTTCACACCCCAGCTCTCTGGTCCACCCCATCAGCAGCTCTGCCCTGGGGAAACCCTGTCCTGCAGGAGTCTCTCCCCCACTGACTCACCTGAACTTGGTTTGCTGGACCTTGTGGCAGCCAGGAATGTGCTTGAAAACCTCGTTCAGCTGCGAGGAGCAAGAGGGACTTTGGCAGCATATCCCTCACTGAACAGTATGTGCTCAGTGAGCAGATGCTGCTGCTGCCACAAAACCTGGGAGCACTCTGCCCACCCCAGGCCCTCCTCCCTCACCCTCCCACACCAGGTTTCATCCCAGGACATGGCAAGAGGCTGCAAATTGAAGCCAAACAGGAGCTTCAGATCACACGCCCCAAAGCAAATCCAGAACCTCAACAAGATGCTTCGCCAATTCTTACAACTGGGACCTTAAAAACTGTGCTTTCTCACAAAAGAAGAAAAACTGCTCCTTCCTCTCAACAGCTGTGGGTTCCCAGGGAAGGGGCACTGCCCAGCCCCCTGTGTGGCTGTCCCCAAGGCCACCCCGAGCCCCCCTTGTGCCCAGGCTCCTACGTTCTCCTCCACTTCCTTGCGCAGCTGCTCGAACTCCCGCGTGTCCGCTTTCGTCAGGTTCTGCGTGAAAAGCCGCGCCAGCCTCAGGGACAGCCCGTAGGCAACTGGAAAGAGAAATTCCCAAATCCAGCTCCATCCTTCTTGCTCAGAGGAATAACCCACCCGGGAGCTGGAGGCACAGGGACGCTCACCGAGGTCCTTGGGGCTGGTGGCAGCGGGGGAGGCGACGCCCTGCTTGTGGACGTTGTTGTGGATCTTCCAGCGGACCGTGTCCCGGCCCTGCAGGGAGCCGCTGCGCACCAGGGGCGTGTCCAGGTGGTCGGAGGACATGAGGCTGTGGCGGAGCATGTAGTGGTCCTCCTTGAAGCCAACGGTGCGACCTGCAGAGCCAGGGCTGGGTCAGAGCCTGGGCACACCGGGACAGCGCCACAGATTCTGTCCGGGGGGATGCTGAGGGTTTCCACCACGCTGAGGGTGTTGGGATGGCAGCAGGGGAGGGGGATGCAGGAGAAAGGGGTGCTCGTGAGCGGGGAGAACACATCTCAGCAGCTGAGCATCACAAGGTCAGGGAGAGCCAGCAGTGGGATGCCCAGGTGTTTGTTTTTTTAGCTTTTATAGAGATGGGGTGGCTGAGAGGCGTTTGAAAAGATTTTATTCTATTATCAGTCTCGATGAAGGGTGAGACATAAGAGATATAAAACTCAACACCATTCTATCAGAACCAAACTTAGTTATAATACTTTATAAATGTTTTTCAACCTATTAACTTTTACTACACAATGTTGCTATTACATCTAACACCGATCACTTAGATTTTTACCCCATGTAATCTTGCTACAATGTATCTTTCACAGTTCTAATTTTCTAAAATGTTTCATCTTTTTATAAAGCCATATTTTGAAACTTATTTGTAGTTCAATCTCTCTCTCAACAATGTCACCTCTATTCCGTAGCCTTCCTAACTCAACACACCTTATCTCTCAGTATTTGCATATAGATATATTTTGAAAATCCTTTACAAATCCATTTCTCACAGCAGGGTGTGGGGCAGGGAAGAAGAGTGGAGCAGCAGCTCCAGGACTCCTTGGCTCAGGCTCTGTGCTAGAAGCCTTCTCCCCAGCCCACCTCTCAGAGAGGAGGGATGCTCACCCCAGCACCCCCCAAACCCAGGAAGGCTGTGAACCCCAGAGCCCTTCCCCCAGGACCCAGGGCTGGTACCTCGTGCGCAGCAGGGCAGCAGGGCCAGGCAAGCCTAGAAAACAAACGGCCAGAGACACAATCACTTTGTGGCCAAGCACAAAACCCCTCCAAGTCTCCATCAGGGAGGGTCCACACCAGCAGGGATGTGTGGGCAGCAGGTGGATGGGGCTCTCAAGCTGATTTTAGCTAGATGGGGGAAATCTGGCTAAAATTTCACCAGCAGCTCATGTTGGCAACAGCAGAGGCTTGGATACCACGGGGACATCCCCAGCAAAGCTGGCCATGCTGAGGCTGGGTGAATTCTGGAAATTTGTCATGTTTTTGGCCATATCTGGTTCTCTCCCTGGGCTGGGGAAGCCAGCTGAGACACTCACCTTGCAGCAGGCACAGAACTTCCAGCAGAGCAGGAGCAGCAGCCCCAGGAGCAGGATGAGGAAGATGAGCAGTGGGATGAGCCAGAGGAAGCTCCCAGGCGGGCACTCTGCAAGTGACAGCAATGTCACTGCCAGGCATCAGCCCCCTGTGGGGTGTGCAGGGAGGGAGGAGCAGGGAAGCAGGGACAGAGGGGAAAGGCTGGACCACAGCTCTCTGAGGGATGCAGCAGCCCAGCTAACCTTGGCAGTGCCTCACAATGAGAAATGCTGTTCAGGGAGGGCTGTCACACCTCTGCTCACACCCAGCCACACCAAAGGGCTGCAGCACCTTGCAGCAATCCCTGCCCATGGTAGCAGGGGAAAGGATCTGATCTCTAAAGGTCTCTCTGAGGGTGCCACGTTCCACCCCTTGCAGTTCATGGCACAGACAGGGTCACCCTCCTGTGCACACAGCAAGGTGGGCAGGAAGGTGCTGCCTGTAGCAGGGGCACAGCAAAGGGACAAAGCAGGGATTGGGGGCACCCTGGAGTTGGTCACTGGTCCAGATCCCAGGCTGGACATCCCCTGCTCCCCCCAGCGCCCTGCTCACCTTTATTCTTCTGCACACGGACGGTGGTGTTGGGGAGGACACTGGGGTCTCCCTCCAGGGTGTAGTGGTAGGTGCAGTCATCATCCTCATCCTGGAAGGAGCAGTACTCACCAGCCTCCTCTGTGGGGAGAGGGGACATGGCTGTGGAGTCACAGGGCCAGGAAAGGCTTGGGGAGCAGCCCTACATGCACACACCCACACAGCAGAGCTGTGCCCAGCTCTGCTTCTCACATTACCTTTCTTCAGCTCCTCCACCATCTGGATCTGGAGGTGGCAGGAGCTGCAGTTCCCTTTCAGGTTGCCTGACCCCCAGGTCTGGCAGCGGACACAGTCCCGGATGCTCTCACACACAGCCTGGAAGCCCTGGGAGAGGGGGTGGGATGGTCAGGGACACCCCCAGGAGCGAGGGGGATGCAGCCTCTGAAAGGCAGAGCTGGAGAGGCAGCTCCTCATCCCAGAGCCAGGGCAAGGTCCAGGTCAAAAAGAGAAGTTACTGAGAACAAGCAGCTCATGAAGGATTTATAAGCCCAGTTGACTCCAAAATCTCTTATACAAACAGCCTGCATTTGGGCAGCAATTAGATCTTCTCCAAGGGTTTCAATGGCCTTTCCAAAACGTGATCAAGCCAGCTTTCTCCATCCCTACTGTGGGATTAGCCCATGTTTGTCAATGGGGAAATCAAATGTGTTCAAGGCCAGGTTGGGTGGGGCCCTGAGCAACTCGATCTAGTGGAAGGTGTCCCTGCCCATGGCAGGAGAGTTGAAATGAGATAAGCTTTAAGGTCCCTTCCAATCCAAACCAGTCTGCAATTCTGTGAAATTAGTTTTTTCCCAATCTTGAGGCAAATCAGAACAAGCCACAAGCTGAGCCTCAAACCCGTGTGCAGATAAACACAGACAGACTCTCAACAGTTGCTGTTGGTGAACAGGAAGCCAAAGAAAGCCTGTGGCTGCAAAGCAGCTCCCATGCCAGACCCCTTCTGGCCACAGGACAGGTGAGACAAACCCTTGCTCAAAATTTTGTTCCTGCCTGAGATGTGCCTTCACCTCTGCTTTGCCTTTCTTCCTTGGGAGCTCTGCACGGGGATAAATGATGAGCCCAGAGGGACTCACCAGGGAGTAGCTGATTTCACAGGTGGAGCTGGTGTACAGCGAAGCCATGTCACAGATGCATCTGCCACATTCACACCTCCCGTGGTTATTGCAAATGCCCTGCGAGAGGAGAGGTGACAGCCTGAGAGCGGCTCTGGGCGTCAGAAGGCACCTCAGCAGCCCAGAGATTCCAGCACTGGGAAAACTCTCCGCAGCCCTGCCGGGAGCAGCGGTCCCTGGGGAGGGCAGGGCAGGACCTACCCCTCGGCTGTCGATGCAGGTGTCGTTGCTGGTGGGGCATTCACAGCCCGGGCCCTCCCAGCCGCTCTCGCACACGCAGGCGCCCCTGGAGCAGCGGCCACGATCTGTGGGGACAGCAGGGATGGCCTGGGCTCCAGGGCAGGGCCATTCCCCCAGCCCTGTCTGCGGCTCCCCCGCTTTCCTCGGGGTGCACAGGGGCTGCAAAGGGGCTTTTTGAAGTGCAAAGGGGTTGCAAACAGACCCCACAGCTGTAGTTATGATATTTTATTAAAAATCCTTTTTTAGGATTTTTTTCCCTCCTGAGAGCTGAGGGCCTCAGGAAAGAAATGTAAAAATAACTATCTGCTGCTGTGGAATGCAACAGGTGCACCTTCCATTAGTCCACGTAGATTGATTTCAATTGATGACCAACCACAGCCACCTGTGTCGAGACTATGAGCAGTCACAAGATTTTGTTATGCATTCTATTCTATTATTTTTCTTTGTAGCCTTCTGATCTTTCTTTTCTCTCTATTCTTTTAGTATAGTTTTAATGTAGCATTTTAACATAATATATAAGATAACAAATCAGCCTGTATAGTTTTAATGTAGCATTTTAATATAATATATAAGATAACAAATCAGCCTTCTGAAATAGAATCAAGGCTTGTGACTCCACACACAGAGAATTCACCTCAACACGCAGCATCCTCCCTGCACCCCTGCAAGCGCAGAGTCCCTGCAGCCCAAGCCCCAGTGCCAGTGCCACCAGCCCGGGACACCCTGTGTGTACCACCCCCACTGGGGGCTCTGGGCTGCTCTCACCGTTGCAGAGGAAGCCGGAGGTGCGCGGGCACTGCAGGACGTCGAACTCGCAGAAGGCGCCGTCGAAGCGCAGGCTCTGCTCCTCGGAGTAGCACTGGCACTTGCCGCACAGGCACTCGCCCCGGCCCGAGCACGGCTCCGCGTCCCCGGGCCGCACGCAGGCCTCGTTGTTGGGCGACGACGCCGGGGAGCAGTCGCACGTGTCCCCTCGCCTGGGGACAGAGATGGTGCTGAGAGAGGCAGGAGCAGAGCACAGCACAGCAGGGTCCTGGGCAGGGTGCCCGCGGCACGGACGTCCCTGGCAGGGGTGTGGCTCTGGACACAGTCCTTACCAGCCCGGGTGGCAGATGCACTGTCCACACACAAAGTTCCCATGGAAACTACACTTGGGTGAGTCCAACTCTTGTTGCTGGAAGTGAACAGAGAAGAGGCGTTGCTGAATGGGCCCAGCTGCCCCCAAGACCGTTTCAGGAATCAGAAGGGCAAAGTTTTGCCCTGAAGACCAAGCTCTACCACAGGACATCACACCGGGCTGGGAACAGGCAGTGATGGAGACCTAGGCCAGGCTGAGCATCACTGAGGGGTCCAACAGAAGCCACGTGCATTGGCCAACACATTCCCACCCCAGGCTGGCAGGAGGAGGACACCCTTCTGCATGACCCCACCTGTTCACAGGGACACACGTCGCAGACCACAGCAGCTGACACCGTGAGGCTGTCGCTCAGGGACGTGGGCTTCACGTGGATGACTCCGTGCCGGTCCTTCTCGGGGAGGCTGCAGACATGCTGCCCACCAACGTACTCCAGAGCCTTCACGTGCATGCGGAACTTGCTCTGAAGGAAGGGACACACTGCAGGGATGAGCCAGCTCTGCTGGACCACATCCCAGCTGGACACGGAGAGCTCATCCCCTCACACGTGCCTTCCCTTCGCTGCCATCCGAGGACTTACCACTTTTCCACGGGTGATGTGGAAGGAGCCAGATTCTGTCTTTTCAAATTCTGGGGAGGTGAACTCTGTCTTCAGGGCTTTGGGGGTGAAGTCAGCCCGGATGTCCATCTTGGAGCGGATGCGCTGGGCGCCAGAGGATAAACACAACGTTAATTTTCAGCAGTACCTGTGACCACCCCATGGCCTGCTCCAGGGTGGCCACATCCTGCCCTCTGCCCACTCTCCTGCCCCAGAGGTGCCAACCCTCTGCCCTCCCTGTGAGCCAGAGTGAAGCTCCAGAGAGCACCGTTACCTCAAAGGCTGTGCGAAGCAACTCCACGATGTTGGAAGAGTCTTCCTGGAGCACCCCGATCTCAGAGATGGGGAAATACTTGTGCAGCTTCTGCAGAGAGACAGGAGCTCCCTCAGCCAAGGCCTTGAGAATCCTCCTCCATCACGGGAGTGGGCTCTGCTTTGAGACCTCCAAATATCCCTTCCAACCTAAATTACTCTTCAGCTCTGTACCTCCACTGCTTTACAAGAAGCAGAAACCAACACAGAGAGACCTCCAGGAGCCTGGATTCCTGCACCCAGTTATACACCCTGAGACAGCCTAGAGCAGCCTGGCAACACAGAGTGCCACCCCCCCAAATATCAAGGTCATGGTTTAGCACTTGGGGACAAGCATGGGAGAACACTCTCTCCTCAGAGAAAGTCTCTCCTCAGGTCTGAGCTGAGGCAGAGGTCCGGGAGGAAAGGCAATCCCTCGTGTCACACTGCCGTGCTCTCCTCACCTCATAGTAGCTGTAGGAGTGGTTGGTGACAGCAAAGATGGGGATGATGTTGTGCTGGCCCAAGAGGCGCACGAGGGTGGGCACTGAAGGATAGTCCTGCTTGGTGTCATACACGTAGGTGCCGTGGCTGTCCAGGTGGCACTGCTCATCGTTCCTCGCCAGGATCCCTGCCAGGACGTTTGTGCCATCAGCTTCATAGTGAAAGGCAGACTCGGTGGAGAACACGAGCAGGTGAGTGCTGTCCTTTCTCCAGCCAATCTTATCCTGCAGCCGGGGAGGGGGAGAAGGAACTTTTATCTCTGTGCTTCCCAAAGCCCTGCACAGCACTTGCAGCCCTTGGCAAGCCAGCACTGACTAGGAATACCCAGGAGCTGGAATACCCAAGGGACAAGGCACCACCTGCACCTGGCAGCAAACACAACCAGCCACGTGTCCCCAGGAATCCCAGCATCCACCCGCACCCCCAAAGCACGGGGTGTCTCCCACCCAGCAGCTCAGTGCCAGGCACATGTGTGTACAGGGGGCAAGCCCACACCTCCCTGGACGTGTCTGGAGCTGTGCTCATCCCTCAGCCAAGTGGCCAAGCCCAGGTGGGCTCTTTTCCAGGGAGCAGAGTTTCATCACCACAGGCGTGGAGGGGGACAGAGCAAAGAGCACACACAGGATTCCCAGCAAGGAGCTCCTTGATAGGCATCAAACACCAGGACACATATTCTAAGGCTTAGGGAAAACTGGGAATGCAAAACAGCTTGGCACTGGGAGTGTGTGGCTGGGAGGGCAAGAGCCAGCTGTAGCTGAACCAGGGCTCCCTGGCTGCCCTGTCAGTGCATGGCTCTGCAGGAAGATCCACTCACTAAAAACACAGCCCTGGCCACCCTGACCTTGCAAACAGCTGTCTGCAGGATGGCATCAAAGCCGCCCTCGGGGGCATCCAGGTTGCCAGAGATGCGCTCCTTGCTGAGCTCCTGGCTGAAGTGGTTGATGTTGCTGGTCAGGCGGATGACGTTCTTGAAGGAGAACGGGGAGTCGGCGTTGTGCCAGGGCTCACGCAGCCTAGGAGAGATGGAACCAGGGGTCTCGTGTGGGGCAGGAACCAAGGGATGCCAGGGTGCAAGGAGAGGAAATGTGGGGAGAATCCCTCAGGGGAAGTCATGGAGCTGAGCAGCACAGAGAGGGAGAAGGGATGAGGGCAGAGATAGAGGAGAAGACAAGATGTGCAAGTTGTGGCAGAGCAGGGAAGGTGTGAAAGCAGAGGATGACACTGCTGGCATTGTCACAGTGCTACAGCAAGCCCTGAGGGAGGACACTGGCAGTGAAGGAACAGAGATGGATGGAGGCTCTTGCACTGCTGACACTGAAGCCACGGAGGAACAGAAGGCACTTTCCACTCCCTCTACTCCCACCTCAGGGACCCATGGGGCTCACTCACTTTTCGGGTCTCATGTCTGTCTGAGGGGATGAGACTTTGTCCACAAACTTGCCAAATCCAATGGTGTAATTGGAAGTCAGGGCTTGCAGGAAGTCCGCTGGGGGGAGAGGAAAGGAAGGGGGACACACATAAATAAAGAGATGCCTGTGAGCTCCCTGCTCCAGGGAAAGAAGTCCTTTTGTGGGCATCCTCTCTGCTGGTCAGTTCTTAGATAAGGTTCCCAAACCATCATCTTGTAAGATCTTTGGGCTTTTATAGGGCAGAAACCTACACCCCTTTGGAGCCCCAAAGCTGGAGCTCCTGCAATAGCACCCAGCAGGTTCAGGATGCCAAAGGCCCTGCACAGAGCAGCTCTGGGGGTCACCAGCTGGGCTGGAAGGGGAGATCATGTGAGGATCACTGCAGGACCAGAGGGACATCCCCACACAGGGCTGCACAGAGATAATGAGAAGCTCCAAGGAAAACAGACACCTCTCAGCCCATTGCCAGCTGCATCCCCCTCTCTGGTGCTGGCAGAGGACTCACAGCCACAGGCAGGGACGAGCTGCCTGCCTTCATCAGCCTAGGAGCAGCTCCCCTCTTCTCCCAGCTCTGCCCTCACCTAGGTTATGCCCCATGCTTTTGAGGTTGTCCAGATCATCTGACATGGAGTAGGAGAAGTCCATGAGGATGTAGAGATCCACAGGACTCTCCTTGGGCTGGAAGACATCCATGTTGAAGCTCATCTCCTCGCCAGCCCGCAGCCGCATGTACATGGCCTGGGGGGACACCTGGGTCCTCTGCAGGGACATGTTGATACTGGAATTCTGTGAAGGAGAGTGACATGAAGGGGATGGACTCCATCTCCAGCACTGGTGCAACGAGGAGGAGCAGGGAGATGTGTGGGAAGTACAAAGGCAGGGATGGGCACGTCCCCCTCCCTCATGTACTGTCCAACAGCCTCCCCCACAGCCACTCGTGTCCAGCCAGGCACCTCCTCCAGAGGAACGTGAGCATTTTGCTTCCATCTGCTTTGTCTGCAAAGGCACCCCAGCCCACATCAGGGCCAGTGGCCCACAGGTCCACCAGCTAGCCAAGGCATTGCTTTTGAGCAGACCCTACACAAATAGCAACCTGAGCTTTGTATTCTTCCTGCTGAGGAGCCTAGAGAAGGAGGAAGGACCCCTCAGGAGAGGCTGGGCACGAGCTCTGTCCCCAGCACGCACCTTCAGCGTCCTCATCTCCCCCTGGGTGTACACGAGGCTGGCCTCGCCGCAGCCGGAGCGCAGCAGGTTCTCCCGCAGGTCACAGCGCGGCTCCTCGAAGCTCTGCCAGGGAGCAAGAGCAGCATCAGAGCCACAGAAAGCACCAGATCCACTGGGAAAGGCGGAAATACACAGGGCAGGAAGGAAGGTCCTGTGCCTAGAGCACTGTGAGCCTTGGAGAGCAGGAGAGGGGCAGAGAGGTGGGTTCTGTGAGAGATGCTCTCACACAGTCACCAGCTGAAATGTGACCACCAGTGAGTTACTGGCTTGTGTGAGATAAAACTCTCCCTCCATCCCTTGCACACACTGCTTCTGGTGCACTGCCATTTTCTGACAAACCCCTGTATTGCTGCAATTCTGCCCTGGATTCCCCTCCCTCCCCATGTTCCACACCAAAAGGAAATCCCCATTGCAGCCTTTCCCATCCAGAAGAGAAGCTGGATGCAGAAGCTGCCCCTGCTCTTGTGTCCCTCTCCCACTGAGGGTGGTGGGATCCCCCCATCAGCAGGGTGGGAAGAGGAGCCCCAGGCTGCCCTGCAAGGTCTCACCTCGTCGGTGCAGAAGGAGCAGTCCTTATCCACCCGGATGCACTCGGTGCAGCTCTTTGCTCGGGACAGCACACAGCGGTTGTCTGCCAGGAAAGATCAGGGCATCAGGTGTGGGCAAAACAAAGGGAGCTGTGGGAGGCTGTGAGAAAGGCTGATCCCGTGGAAAAATGGAGGTTTTGCCTGGTTAGTGGAAACTGGCTGCAAAACAGCAGCAGGGTAGCATGGGAGGGTCTCCAAAAATTGGAGATGGAAAACAGCAGGAAAATCACACAGCAGGTGTTCTCCACGTGAAGACTGGCGTTTCTGGAGACAGGACAGGTACACACAGCCCCCAAGGGGAGAGGCAGACAGGGCTACCACAGCTCCACTCACTTTTGCTCCATTGGCAGAGGCCGGTGGCGCAGAGCAGGGACAGGAGGAGCAGCCTGGCACACGCCCGTGGCGGCACATCCATCCTCTTCCTCCTGAAATAAAGGGATTGTTGCATTGCCGAGAGCCAAGAGGTGGGAATGCACTTGGATATCACCAGGGCAGCTCCCACAGAGCCCCTTCCCAGCCCCGTCGGGGTGGGACAGCCCTCACATCCCGGGCTGGAAACAATTGCTGAGCTCTGCAGGGCAGGGCACAAAAGCAAAGCCAAGGGTGGCTTGTCCTCTGCTCAGGCATCTGCAAAAGGCTCAAAATTCCCAGCAATGCCACCCCTGTGCCTGGAGCTGGGGTGCACAGCTTGACATCAGGGGTTGGTGCAGACAGCTGGAGCACAGGAGGCTCCCAGACAGAGCCCAGCACCATCCAAACATGAGAGCACTGACCAGGCCAAGACATTGCTTTTCCTGGCAGGTTAGGGAAAAAAAAAAAAAAAAAGAAAGAAAAAAGAAAAAAAAAAAGGAAAACAAAGTGACTGTCCACATCTCTCCTCAAAAGCAACACTGACCCCTCCCTTCAGCTATTTCCTATCACACTAAGAGTTTCCAGGATGGTCAAGCCAACAATAAAGAGAGGGTGAGGTCTTGGGAAATGCCAGGCTTGGAGCTTTGGAGTTGTTGAATGAATCTGTGGTTTTGAGAGCCTGGCAGATCCCCTTTGTCCTGTCCAGGGCAGCAGGACCCCTTGATGGACACAGAGGGCAATTCCTAAACAGAGTGAACCATTCTCCCTGCACCACACGTGACTGAGAAAACTCAGTGCCATCCAGAAGTCAGCATTTGGATGTGGTAAACAGAAGGCACAAAGCTGGAACTCAAGTTCTGCAGCTGCTGTGCCAGAGGCTCGTCCTCACACCCAGCAGGGCAAGTAAGAGCAGTCAAGGAGAAAATCAACAGTGTAAAGATATCATTAAAACATCTCCTTCCTGGTAGATACAATTGTGAAATATGAAACGTGGATGAATTGTGCTATAGCTTCTTGCTGTGTCAGCCCTGACTCTGAAATGAAAAGAATGTGAAAACCGCTTAAAACAGGGAAAGGAAACAGGAAAAGTTGTTGCGTGCAGTAACCAATTGTGAAATATGAAACGTGGATGAATTGTGCTATAGCTTCTTGCTGTGTCAGCCCTGACTCTGAAATGAAAAGAATGTGAAAACCGTTTAAAACAGAAAGGAAACAGGAAAAGTTGTTGCATGCAGTAAGGATGTCCAAGTTCCCTGGGGGACATCCAGCACACAGAGCAGTCACATGGAGACTCAGCCACTCACAGCCCAGCCTGGGCTGCAGGGAAACCCCTGGAAAAGCCCAGCCTGGTCTCAGCAGCACCAGATCACCCTTGGCCTCTGCAGCCAGGGGAATACATTGAATGCAGCAATTGTCGTGACACAGGGCTCAACCAAGCCAGCAAAGACACCACAAGACACCGCTCTTGGTGGCTGCACTTGGCTCCATGTGAGAGTCACTGGGTGCACAGGCAGCAGCTGGCAGGACACTGGCACCTCGCTCATCCTGTCAGCTGTGCCCAGAGGGATTTGCCACAGCCATTAATGCCCGGTGGCTAAAAGTGAAACACGGGAGCCTCAGGGCAGCATCTCTGCAGGGAAACCCCGGGAAGCTTTGCTGCTCCTCAGGACCTGTAGCCAATATGCTGTGCTACCAGTGAGCTGCCATTCTTATGGGTAAAAGGTACCAGCTGAGCAAGGGAACCCCTCTGCTTCCCTCCCTGCCACACTGACCATCAGGCCATGTCCCCAGTGGGGCCCTTTGCAGGTTTGGCTTCAGGTGGCCCCTGTCCCCCAAGCCTAGCTGCAGCGCTGGCTCTGAGGCCAGCATTCCTCACCCAGGACATGCCCATGACCTCCTTAGGGACAATCCTCACTCCAGCACTCGCTGGCAAATATTGTGCCCCTTGCTACCAACACAGGTGGGTTTTGAAGCCAGGAAAATCCCTTTTTCTCTTGCTCTGGCCCAGCCCAGCAGAGGGCTATGGAGATGTGGGGTGGGATGAAAGGGTAGGGAAGAAACCCTCAGAGCCCGTGGAAGGACAACACAGGTAAAAACATCATCTGAGCACTCAGCAAATCCCATCTCCCACCATGGCATGGGCCACAAGGAAAGGATTGAGTATGGGACCAGACTGCCCAGCTCACAAGGATCTAATGGCTCTTCCCTTAATCACCAGCTAGGAAAAAGTCACCAAGGAACGGATGGACACACCCTGGGCCTCAGGCACATAAATTGCCATCACATCTTTTCAAGTGCTGAGATAAAAGGCCATAAAATCCTGCTCAATATTAACGTCCTGTTGCCCTGTGAGCCACCAATCTTCAAGGATTTTGCTGGGCAGATGCCAGCCTGCTGGGTGCTGAGCACAGAGCATGGCCACTGAGGAATGCAGCCTGCAATATTCCTGCAAAAATGTGGGAGCAGCCACCCCTCACTTTCAGAAGTCTCCTCTGGAAGGGAAAATGCACTTCCAGTTCAGGAAAGCTGCAGGATTTGGTTGGGTTTTCATGACAACAACAACAAATAAATCTGTTCAGTTGTGCAAAAACAAGGAGAAAGAGCAGCTCCTGGCTGCACATAAACTTCCTACCATTTCCCAGACTTGCTCCAGCATTTCCTCCTCATCTCCTCTTGCTCCCCCAGCCTTTGCCCTGCCCCTCAGCACAGCAACAAACCTGCCCCAGGAATATGCCAAGAACCTGAGTCTGGAGAAGCTGGGGCCAGCTACCTCATCCCCAAAAATCCAGGCAACGCTCCAAACAAGCAGCTGGTGCAATGGGACAGGGGACAGGGCTGGAATGGCAGATGGGGGAGCAAGGAGAAGGTTGTGATGAGCCACAAAGCAGCAGCAGGAGCCTGGTCCCAGCTGGCACGTGGGGGACACCCAGCAGGTTGGGACACAGGAGCAGGAAAGTGAGGGAGATGCTCAAGGATTGAGCTGCCAAGCACAGCCTTTCCTCTCTTGAGGGGGAATTGCTCTTTTCATGGCTGCAGCCATGGGGGGATGTGTGGGGCTGTGCAGGGGACTGACCCTGGTCCATGGCATCATCCAAATGTCAGTGTGTGCTGAGGATGGGCAGTGCAGCCACAGCCCAGGGATCAGGGACACAGCTCATGTGTGGTGGCACAGAGCTGCTGGGACCATGCTCCAAAACTTGGAAATTATCAAGCCAGACTCCCCAAAACTACCAAAAACTCAGCCCACAAATCAAATAATCTCTTACACACAAAATCCTACTGGTTTTGTTTTGTTTGCCTTCCCCGTCCGTTCCCCCTCCTTCCCCAGGCGTGCTCCTGCAGCTGGCAGGCTCCACGTGAGTGTCTCCGTTTGTTGTTTTCAGGTCCCAGGTTGAGTTCCAGACCCCAGATATAGCCCCCAGCACTCTCCAGCCAGGGACAAAACGCAGCAGGACCCAGCCCAGGCACCCACATGGAGCTGCTTTGTGGCCAACACCCCTGTGCTGTGAAGGGCTGGTGGCTCTGCTTCCATCTCCTCCTGGTGCCCCCCAGGCTCGGGCAGGGGGGAACCCCCAGGAGCAGAGGCAGGAACGGCAGGACCCTGCCTGGGCTCTGCCCAAATGCCAGCACAGCCCCTGAACACTCCCGTTCCCTCCATGTGCTCTTCCTGCAACTTTCTCTGCTCCTTCGGCCCCACAAGACACTTTTCCCCTCCTTCCCCTCCGTGGGTGCTCCTCATCTCTCTTTTCCCCAGCTAACCCAGGCCTGTCAGCCCCCTCACACCAACCCTCCTGTCCCCTGTCCCTGTCAGACCCACCAATTTGCAAATACCCCAACACCTGCAGTTCAGCAAAGCCCACCCTGAACCCCCCACTCTCTTTTCCTCCAGGAACCCCTCTTCCCTTGCTCCCCCCTTGCAGGGGCAGCCACCAGGTCTGGAAAACAAGCCCAGGGTGGGAGGCACCCACAGCCCCGCTGACCTTGCCCACTTTCACCCGTGAAAGCTTTCCTGGGGTGCCAGCTCCGAGGCACGACAGCCTTTCCCCCTGGAACTGGGCTGAGGGACAGGGCAGCCTCTGGAACTCCAACAGCTCTCCCCAAAGGGCTCTGCTCTGCCATCCCATCCCCGCACCTCTCCCGGACCCCCACCCAAATACCTGCGGACACAAACCCGGACCCGTGCAGCCCCCAAAGCCCTGCCCGGTCCCGAGCGTTGCCTTTCCCAGCCAGCCCAGAGGCACGGGACAGTGTCCGGCAGCCAAAACCCAGGGGAAAGCAGAGGGAACGGGCGGGCAGGGGCTGAGCCCCCGCTCCGTGTCCTGCCCACCTGCCCGCGCATTAATTCCCTGCCCGGTTCATCAGCGCAGCAAAGTTCAAGCGGGCTGGACGCTGCAGAGCACAGATGAATTAATTCCACAAACCTCATTAGCGCTGGGTCTGACTCAGTCCAAATCCTCTGCCGCAGCCCGAATAACAGGCACCCACACACCAAGCCAAGAAATTCCTCCGAAGGCAGAGGGAGAACGTGCTGCTTCGCCGCTGCCACTTATTTCCAGCTTTGGGCTTTTCTTTCCTTTTTTTTTTTTTTAATTCTTTTTCTCCCTCCTCTCTATTTTGTGTCCCTTTTCTCTCTCCGGTTAAACGTCAGGTCCCGGTCCGGCGGGGAGCGCAGCCAGCCCGCGATCCCACATAACTCCCGGCGGCTCCCCGGCCCCTCAGCCAAAAATCCACTTTGTTCTCCCTCCCCGCGCTGCCGCCTCGCCCTCCCGAGGGGCTGGCAGGCAGGAAAGGTGGGAGCTGCGATAAATGAGATTGGATCCCAGGTGAGGAGAAGTTTTATCCCGGCTGGGAGGGAGGAGGGGGTGCCCGTGACGCAGGGCTGGCACTCACTGCTCCCTGCACACCTGGCCGGGCGGGCACAGCCCTCTGGACCCTCCCTCCGCTCCGGCACCATCCCACAGGAAAAGGAAGGTGCTGCCGTGGGCAGGGAGCCCGGAGAGGCTGCTCGGCTTCATCAGGGCAGAGCTGAGGGAGCTCCCCCACCTCCCGGGACAGGGGTTTCTCCTCCCAGTTTCCCCCCCTGGCACGACTGGGAGGTGTCACCGACAGAGTTCAGGTAACTCCTTGCTGAAATGCCAGGGAAATTCCTGCCCCGACAACCGGCAGATGCCGAGCCCAGCCTCGGTGCTTTGCGTGCAGAGAGGATGGATGGGCACGTGGGGGACACCCGGCAGGTTGGGACACAGGAGTAGGAAAGTGAGGGAGATGCTCAAGGATTGAGCTGCCAAGCACAGCCTTTCCTCTCTTGAGGGGGAATTGTTCTTTGCATGGCTGCAGCCATGGGGGGGGATGTGTGGGGCTGTGCAGGGGACTGACCCTGGTCCATGGCATCATCCAAATGTCAGTGTGTGCTGAGGATGGGCAGTGCAGCCACAGCCCAGGGATCAGGGACACAGCTCATGTTCCCTCCCCTGCACAT